CTGTAATCATTAGTGGTCGTGGGACTAGTTTGGGCCCTACCTAAGCTGGTCGAATGTTTCGTTGGGGTCTATACCCTAGCTGCACTGATGAGGCCTGGAAGGCCGAAACAGATCCGTCTGCAGATATTGTGATTCCTTCCAGTGGATGCTTAGTTTATTTTGTCATACTGATCGGATTTTCTCTACTGTTCCGTTTTAATTTTAAATAGTTTTGCATTATGTGGCCGTTTGCTGTTTTATGGGTTTTTCCCATTTGCCTTTTAAAATTTATATATATATATATGTTCTATCCTTAGTCTTTAACTGTGGAAACTGGCAAAGATTAAGACAATAAAATAGTTGGGAGTGAGTAAACAAGGTCAAATAAAGAATAAAAGTAAGGAAAGCATCTAATAATATGTAGCCTAAATTATGCAAGACAGAATTAATAAAATTATTTTTGAAATTATAGCTTCATATAAAATTCAAACTACAAAATCCTGAAAACTAAAGACATAGCAGAATCAATACCTTGGCTCACTGTTCCAAGGTCCTAGTAATAAAAAGGTGTACAAATATAGATATTGTTACGAAATCCTTCGCTGAGCATGATAATTAAGGCAAATGCCAGTAGACAACATGACTTAACATCTCTTTTAGTCTAGTGAATTGATTCTTCTATAATTCAGATTCTATCTATAGATCCAACATTGAAATAGATAGGTATATACATTTGTAACAGATTTGCAATAGACATTACCAAATAGATGTAATAGATATTTAATAGGCATGTAATGGATAATATGTAATACATAAATAATATGGAATACCCAAATATGTAATATATAGGTATGTAATATAAAATACAGCAGATATTTAATAATGTGTAATAGATATTTAAAATAAAATAGATATTTGTAATAGATTTCTAACATCAAATAGATATGTAATTATTATTCTGTATTATCTTAATTTTATTCAGCAACTGCTGAAATAATAATTAATGGAATGTATAATGTGTACATCCCTACAGTAGTGCTCACCAATCAGTGATTCACATAAAATACCAAAAAACATCAAAATCCATCTTAAATTTTTTTTCTGATTTTTCATTAAAGTTGTTTGCATTCAGTAACTCAACATAGGATCCTCTACTTGTTTAAGTATGGGAGATTCAAGTCTTAATCTCCCACACTCAAGTTTGATTAATCCTGATACCTGGCAGAAATTGATAAAAATTCTTCTGAAAAATATATTAATGATCACATTCAATGACCATTCGTTCATCCTTTTAACAGTAAACATAGAACATAGTTTTTCAGATAACAAACATTCTATATAAAGAATTGACATATATACAACAATAAATAATTTTAACAGGTACAGTACAACATCTTAGAACCACTTACGTGTTTTGACCAACAGATAATTAATTACAACTGTGAGTGAAATATCCAATTTTTTTCCAAGTGTAAATTGCAGATAAGATCTTGTCACAAAGAATATGTGCAGATAAATGATAAACTGATATATTTCTTGTGCATGGAACAGCAAAAATAGGTTTCCAATACTCTGTTTTCTTAATCAATACAGATATTTTAATGAGGTTCAACTTCTATAAAAAATATCTAAGATTATTATCTTTGGTATTCTACGAGATCTCATATTTAACGACATATTCTTCTATTACACATAAACTATTGTACTGATATGATGATGAAGCTCAGAGACACTATAAACATGTCACCGGTGGGTGAATTTTACCTACTGGGTGACAATATTTTTCATACAGGTAGGTAGCTCTCCTAGAATAATTGCATATAAAAATATATATTATACTGCCAAAAAAGCAGAAAAAAACCCCTCATAAATTACAATACTTACTACAGTAAATCATAGATCACAAAAAAGTTTTCAGGAATTTATTGGTCTATTAATATAAAATCTTTAATTTTTTGGCAGAAATTTCTGGCAGTACGATTATAGGAAAGGTATAATTAAGATGTCAGTTAATTGAAACATGTTTTTCTTGCTCCATCATACAAACAGATATATAAAACTACCATTTCAACTAAATTCTAAAGATTATAGTACAGGTATATGTCTTACAACAACTTTTTTTTTTTATCCTTCATGTGGGAAGCTCCCACTTTTATTATCCACTTGTTTACATAGACCAACTCAACTGATGAAAGGGGAAAAAAAAGAGTACCTTCACAAAAAATTTTGCTAAAAAAAAAACCAAAATTGCATTTTGATAATATCATTGTCCTAACAATTTTTTTGTAAAAATTCTTTAACATTTTTTTAAAATTTGCATTATTGACTTTTTTTTAAATTATTATATTAATTATTCTTAATATCATTACTATATTACCAATATATACTTAACAAAAGGTTCAGGCCAAATAACATATTTATATGACTTTATTTACAGTGTATGTCACATATCACGAAATAAAAAATAGCAATAATTATCATCATCATTCTTACTATCATCACCATACATATTGGAGCCAAGTATATTTCCAATATATACTTAATTATTTTGATTGAAAAAGATTGTTATGTGGATATTTTTGCCTACGTAAGCAATAACAGGAACTGTGTGAAGTTCAGTGCGGCCTAGGCACGACAACTTGACATATATTAAATCTATAAAAAACATGCTCTTTCAATTTTAGCTGTAGAGTCAAGTATTATACCAGTTGCTATCCAATACTTTTTGTAAAATTGTCTTGAGAAAACAAGGTTGTATATATTGCAAAATATTATTACATCCGGAATGAATGATATATGGAATCAAATTTGATGCGATTCGTTTCTGTTTACAATATAAATAATGAAACCATAAAAAACAATTTGCGTTTTTTTGTAACGAAACATGGACAATACATTGATATTGGATATACAATAGCAATTAAAGCACTGCTGTCTCATACCTTGGAGATGGACATTTCAATGCTAGAACAACTATCTAGTTCAATGGGTTCACATTGCTTAAACAGGGAACTGAGTTTAGATGTGTTTTTTTTTTCGGAGGGGTTGGGGGTATAATATATGTTCAACCATACTGCTTAAACTAGGCCCAAGAGTGATTTGTTGTGTTGCTGTCATAAGTATACATGTATAATTTTATATGTCATCATTTTGTAAAATTTAACATTGCAATTTGAATTTATATTTAGTTTCTGATGGCTTTCTGACTGCAGACCATGGACAGAATTGTTCAATTTCCATTAAAAACCAGCATAAATCCTGAATACAATTTATTCATTATAAAAACACGAAATGTAACTGACCTGTCGTTATCAATGTACATGCCCCTCTGTAAAACTAATGGGCGACATTCCAAGTGCTCCTCTTCTTCGACGGGGGACACGCCCCTATCCTCCATAAAACAACTTTCTGCTCGTTGTGGAAGTTCAGGGGAAGGGGTCAAATCATCATCTTCATGAGACATAAGGGGTTCAGCTGCTTCCTCAGCCGGTATACTATTAACAAATCAAATTATTTCAGTAATTAAAATTTTGGAATTTTATATATGTGGGAAGACAATATTAACAGTAATGAATTGACTGATGGGTGATGGATGTTAACCACTAAGCTTGTCACAGACTGTGTTGGTGTTGAAGCCAAGTCACAATTGGGTGACTTGGCTTATGATCATCAACTGACACAGTGTGCACCACACTCTAAATTTTCAAAGACATGGAGATCCAAACAAACATGTTAAATTTATTCAATTTTATATTTTGAAGTTATTAAAATAATAAGTATCAAATCCAATTTCTTTACTAAAGTATATACTGTATCCATCATATATCCTATAATGAACTTCTAAATAATTGTTCTGTCAAATTTTGAAAAAACCTACCATCAAATATTCACAACACTATACATTCAATTACTGCATTCTTTTAAAAAATCTGATATAAATTTGCTTTTTGTTTTCATTTAATTTTGTATTTTTAAGTTAAAAATTTATTATCTGAAAGCCAAGGAACAACAATGTCCCCACAGAGATTGGGTATACAAAAAACGAAAAGGAAGATTTCTAACTATTTATCTATGACGCACATAAATGTCATGTTGGCATGATGCACATAAGACTATCATATCATTATTATAATATACCCTACTCCACCCTCATGCATGTGTCCTCCAAATGCTTGTAGGCATAGACATATCGATATAGTTAATTGTCTCATCAGTTTAAATATACTGTTGCTACAGGACATCTGTGCATTCTAATTATGTCTACATGACATGGATTGCTTCCCTTGTGTCTTTATGTTTCTTCATGCAAAGCATCATGAGATTAAACTTTAGACCCGCTAATGATAACACACCAATGATCGCAACGATGATACAGAGACTTTAATTATAATCTTATTTTTTATAGCCACACGTGCAGCCTTATGCAGACAAAAAGCACCATCATCAATCATATAAATAAATAATATAACAATATGTTCAATATAAATAAATGGATATAAATAAGAAACAAATAATTAAATACATAAATATATACATATATAACATATAAAACAAATAATAATATAATAAAATGTTCCTGTATGCTAAAAAACTTTTACAAAGATTCGGACAACGTAGCCTAATACTCCATGATACTATCAAGGTGACATGTAATCATAAAATATAACATACTGTAGTATTAGGTGAACTACTTAATAATTTGCAAATTTTATTATAGAACATTAGACTTCTTATAACTGCAGTGGCAGATCCACAGATGTGCGAAAGGGAGGGGGGAGCCCTCGAAAGTGGGGTCGAGAGAACACTATGCTATGTGGTCTGGGGTAAATTCCCCCGCGATATTTTTGTTTTCTAGATGTCCGAAAATAATCTCTGAGGCGTTTTGGGCGATAGTTCACTAGAGAGGTCTTTATGGCAGAACCCATCAATTTTGGATATCAATAAAGCCTTACCCCATGTTTCAGTATTCAGAAAGTTATCAGAACTCCATTTCCAGAAACAGTATATTTATGACAAAAAATATTATTCCTGATATGATATATTTATGCAGTCTATAAAAACACCATTCTTGTTCATTCTAAACCAATAGAGGTAGAATCCCCAAGGACCATTATAATGAACACGAGAATCGATTTCTGCAAATATACTGCATAATATTGATACACTCCCAGCATGCTCCAAAGGTAACAATAATCATCCTTGTTTATGAATACTATGCTGAATTTTTAATCATAATTTGATAACTAGACAAATATTAGCTGTTCTTTCCCTCATGCAAGAATGAACAAAAGCAGTGTTAGCTGGCAATAAACAAACACGGTAATTAAATCAATTACTTAATTTAAATTTCAGTTCTATTTGTTAATCAAGCTTTCAATGGCCTAATATAGACATTACATTACAAACAGCAAAATATGTACATACAAGTATACCAACAGTAATTGAAAGACAGATAAATACAAGGAATATCTATTCCGTCAGTTGTCCAAAATCCCTAAGGGTACAGATACCCACACACTGCATGTTATTGGACTGGCTTGTGATGCGTTTTACATTTAAATTATTGATATTGTAACATTTCAGTAACATCTACAGTATTTAAGATTTGCCAGTACAGTGAGTACAACTGAAATAACATTGTGCAATTATATGTAATACAGATGATGTTTCTTCCTAAAGAAATATATAATACCAATCCAAATTTCAGTTACACTACAGTCTTTCCCATATAAAGCATACTGATAAAAACAAACTTGGAAGAATAAATTGTGAAACTACTGTTAATGCAAAATAGCACATAAGTTTCTATTGTTTACAAGAGCAATCAACAACTTTTCTGCCAAGAAAGGTGCAAAATGCCTTGATGACCTATTGTAGGGAAGGGTAGGGAATGTTTTCTTTCCATTTGTGGGTTCTAGGAGGTGTAGATCCGAATATCTTAGCCATATTAACTCATATGGAGTAAGATGAAACAACTTCAGTTAGAATTTACATTTGACAAACCATGCTGAATAATCAGTGAAATAAGATTTGAAACAGAGACTACCATCTCAATTACTCCAGATTGTCTGCTATTTTACAATGTCATACGCAAGAATGATTAAATTTAAACTACGCTCTTGCAAATAGACATGGGAATTTCAACTTGATATTGTGCGTTAAAAAGAACACTAACCGCGTCATGCAAAATAAATCGTTAAACGAACAATTTCTCGACAAGAGTGTACAATGATAATGCTAACAAAACAGTGCATGATTTGACTGCCACGGTTACAAACAAACAATGCACGAACACAGAAATACAAACACAGCAAATAACTTGTAAAATTGTTAAATCTATGTATTACTGAAACTATTAAAGAAGAAGCTAATTCATAATTATTGTTATGAGGTACCAATGGAAATAATAATGATGACCATACTAATTAATATAATTGCTTAAAGGTTAGATTATTATTGAACTTGTAAATTAAAAAAAATTACCTTCAAAGAATAGTTATAAGTATTATAAATAGTATAAATATAAATAAGTACAAAGTTTAGGAATTTTCAACACTGTAAAAAAATAATATAACTTAAAATAATATTATAGCGAAATGATTTTAACCACTTTACAATTGTGTTTTTTTAACAACTATTGGCAAAATGAAAACAATTCAAAATTATTTTTCTGTATAAGTATTTAATTTATAAGATAATTTACTTAAATCACAAAATAATCAATTCCTACACTCCCCAAGCCCCCTCCCAATTTGAATTGTAAATTATAGCGAAGAGCTACTGACCAATCATTTTGCCATTAGCATATCATGTGACAGTGCATATATTACTTATTTTCTAGCAAGAATACAGTCAACTATTGCTTTCATGCGAGCCGTCTTTAGCGGCGGGACGATTAGTATCAACATACCGCTGAACAATTTCACGTAGGCTGCTCCAACTGTCCAATCAGAGCAAGAGGAATAAATGTACAAATAAATATAAAATATTAACAATTAATTAATTATGAACACTGCACATTTCAATTCTTCTCACTGATGGACAAACAAAACAAGAGTAGCATAAACATAATTGTTAGTTCATACTATCAATGTTTCTGCGGAAAATATCTGTGATTTGCCATATATGGGCATGATGTGTCATCATACACATATGGGGGCTTGTCATCCCAAAACCAGCATCAGTGAGCCAAACCTTGAAAATTAACTTTTTAATATATTCATTTACTGGAATTGACTTGATGCTCATTATGAGAGATGATGCTCATTATGACAGATATTGATCCCTGTGATTGAATGCCAAACATATAAATAAAAATGAATAAAACTATACAAACCTTGACCGACTTGATCTGCTACTATGAAGTTTGTTATTCACCAAATTAATCGGTCGAGGACCTCGTATACCATGAATTGAATTGGACATAAATGGCCCAGAACCGTATGAATACGGTGACCGTCTACCATATGCATTTTGTGACTGGTAGATGTTTAAAGAAGTTGCTGGGGACACGGCACGATGTGTATTGGATGGTGACATGCTCAGATTGTTTCCCATTAGACATTCCGTTGGTTCCGACTGGCGTCGTATATTGGTTGAACCATTCTGAACGTTCCCAAAAATACAATGACTTCGCTGTGAAAAGAACATTATAAAAATCATTAACCATTGAAAACCAGGTAACAATCAAAAAAAGAAAAAAGAGTATTTTATGCCTGAGAGTGTAATTTCCGGCCAACCAGACGCTGCCCGGCCGCTTGCCGCACAGCCCTCCCTCAAGCTCTCGGTAGGGAGCACTGCCATAGTCTTTTAAACTTCAGCCCCAACAACCACGGTAGGGCTGATGTGGTCTGCACTCATCATCTGTAGAAGTCTTTTCCTGAGTTACCTGTATTTCAAATTTAATTTAAAATGTTCAACAGGGACAGGTAATGTACCTTAAATTTGTTTGTACTTACTTTAGCCGAGTAATCATAAAATATGATTTAGACTTATCTAGCACTTCAAACGAGTTGTTAGGCAAACCAATCAAGCAGTTATTAACTATAAGGGGAAAAAATTACATCGAAGGGAGATCCATTTGTTACCCTATGTGCTGGTTGCTCCTCCTCAAGGGACTCGTCCTCATCTACCTGTTCCAGATTGCCCGAAATTGCACGCTTTAATTCCGGTCCGATGTCATGGAAACTGCGTAAGCCAGCCTGAACAATAAAGAGAGAAAAAAAAAAACCTTTTCTTTCATTTAGTTGCAATCTCCAATGTACTGAACATTCTGCAACTGGCATGGTGAATTTAGCATACACCAATGGTTTAAATGTCTTATCCAAAATATGGGGTGCTACTGCATCTTACATTTTAACACTCTAGTTGAAACACAAGGTGAGCAGAAGATGGAATAAACACATTCCGCTAGGTTTGTCATGTGACATATAGTGGGTATCAATTGTAAACATGCAGCACAGCGACACTCCGTAACAGGAAAATGGCTTCTTCAGAGTGTCTGTGCTGTATTAGAAAGCACATTTGATGTTGATAATGTTAGTTGGAATGCCAGTAACTATACCAAATTTGATTGGAAATTGAGATTGAGTTTTGCCATAATGGTTTGCTAATGCTTCAAAAGATAATGGCATCAAACATTGAGATTTTTCCAGAAATGCTAGGCCTAGGCCCTGCATGTGTCTATGGCCTGTTTAGGCAGGCACGAGAGTCTTAAATCTGCAACTGCGATTTTGACATGCTACAATTTCTAGGCTAGCTTAGGCTTACGAAGGATCACATAAATTCAAAAGCATTAACAGCACATTAAACGGTAGAATAAATAAATAAACACTATTTTGAACAATCATAGTGCCTTTCCTTGCCAGTTCTTTTTCGTGTTAATGGTAGGCGAATGTTTCGAAACCGTAACATTACCCTTTCCTATACTTTAACACTGATTGCACTGTAAATTCGCCATAGTAATTCCCACTATATGCCACGTGACCGGCTGTAAACAAACCTCGCGGAATGTGTCTATTGAGCAAGGGACTGAACAACTTGGACTGGAGGACCTCCGCAGCTCAGCACACCTGCAGTGACTACCACCAGTCTACTGCAGCTGAATAAGTTAAACTACTCTACATTTTTCAATGTTAGAAAATTGCTTATAATTTGATCAAGTTTATAGATATAATGCATTAGGATACTGATGGATTAAAATGTACATATTTAGTAAAATAAATATTAAAATAAGAAACTAAATTACAGGCAATATTATGGAATTGAATCTGGTTTACCTGTAGAGCTTGTGCTGGTGCATCATGATCACCTTTATATTCTGCATTTTTTCGAGCTTTGAAACGACGAAAATAGTCCTGAATCAGGAATGTGGCATAAAATTTACCAACAGTTACATCATCATCATCTGCAAAATAATAATTCAGAAGATTTCTTTGAAATTTTTGAAAATGACATAGAAACAAGGAAGAGGGGAATACCTTTGGTGGTAGACCTGAGTAAACAAAACATGCAGGGCCTACCTGATATGCTAGTGTGATTTTGAGCAGTGTTTGAAACTTTATGAGTGTCAAACTCTCAACTAGACACTTTACCTATGGTTGTTATTCACTTTCTAAAGCTGGGCGCTCATTGTGTCATACTACAGTCGCACAATGGCCTTAGAAAAATCCAACTCGGCTCCCTTCGAACGCTTGAGGATATGATGCTATCTGCTGATCGCAGTCTGAATGGATCGTCATTAAATGTGATCCGTTGCAGCGTTGCGGGCGCGTCGTGGACCCGTGTTATGGATAGAACCATGTCGCCTGACAACCATCAAGTTCAGTGAGCGCCCAGCCTAAAAGTAGTTGGTAGGTTCAATGTGCTGATTATAACTGCAATAAATTAGGTGTTCGATCAAATGACTTGAGTAATGATGTAGAGAGGCCTGTGTGAGCACATTAATCATCTTTGAGGGCTCTCCTAACCTCAGTACTAATTAAATAAAAAAATAGATTTGCATGACTGTACCTCCAGCCGGCGGAACAACTTGGTCTAACTTAGAGTTTGTACGTTTCCAGATCGTTTTGATGACAACACGTAGCTCTTCGTTAGCCTTGTCTATGTTTCCCTCCGTCTTGATCTTGAGTGAAGTTCGCACTAGTGCGAATAAGGTCGCATTAAACATCACCGTACCATCTTTATTTAATGGCATATTCATTGTGACCAATCTCTGTTAATAAAATATATTTGTTATTGTTGAAGCCTTCAATATGAAGATTCAATTATTCAAAAAGTATTATTACAGATTCATCTAAAAAGCTTAGAGACAAGAGCCTAAAACATTCACTGAGCATCAGCGACACTACTTTACTAAAATAATTATTTAAAAAAAACATGATTTGCTTTTGATTTCTTACCTTACATGCTACCCTGTAAGGACAGAGCTTGCCAAAACCTAAAGGGGGTGATATCTGACGCAACATGTCTACGATTTCCACATGTTTTATTTTCCCCCTGTACAAAAAAAACAAAAAACAGTGGTGATGCAAGCATACAGGTTGTTAAGCTGGTTTTCCACTAGGTGAATTTATTCACGCGAATCAAAGTGTCGGTTCGCTTCCTGAGTTCTGATTGGTTGCGCATTCTTTTGCTAGCAAAAACTCAGAAATGAGAATGCGCATGTGCATAAACCGCTGCTTTCCATTCGCGCGAATAAACCTAAAGGGGGTGATATCTGACGCAACATGTCTACGATTTCCACATGTTTTATTTTCCCCCTGTACAAAAAAAATAAAATAAAATAAAAAATACAGTAGTGATGCAAGCATACATGTTGTTAGTGGAGTAATGTAGGGAGCTTTTCATTGCTAAGTGATGTCAAGACCCTAGAACAAAACGAATGTACGTTGTGCAGAGATGGTATGACGTTCACACGGTTGAATCCGTTTTAGTGTCACGTCGTCGCGCTTAGTGAAAGCTCCCTAATAATGAAAGTAATCTGCACTTACGATGCTTCAGGATCTGATTCGGACCACATTCGTACAAACTCTTCAAGATGGTGAGGACCCAGAATTGACCAATCTCTTGTTAAGTAATCAAAATTATCCATTATAACTGCTACAAATAAATTAATTACCTGTAAAATATGAACAAATAAACTTATATTTATTAAAATTAAATATAATAATCAATAATTAAGATTATAATTAAAATAATAAAAATTAACTATAGTAACAATATTAACAATAACAAAATATCAATATTAGAAGCAATAACCATAATAAATATAAAAACATTAATAATAATATAGTAAAGTTTTGAGTTGATTTAGCATAATTAATGACACCTTAGAAACATTTTTTCTCACCAAAAACGAACATAAAACATAGAATGAAAGAAAGTAGGGAACAGCAATGGGACTTCCGCATGTTTCATCTGGTTCGCCCTCATAGCATTTGGAACTTATACATGCTAACATAACATCTTGCCAAGCTTCTCCGGTTGCCGACCTTAAATAAGAAAAACGTAAATCAATCAATCAGGCATGTATAAAGCACCACTACCTATGCCAGAATAAAATGTTCAGTGGCACAATGATAATTTATTCATTCATTAATTCGACCAAAAGACTACAGTAACAAAACATGCAAAGATTAAAAATGAAATGATGATGATATTGTCGTTCCTCTGAGAAGTCAATTCAACATCAATGTTTCTGATAAGTTCTTTCCAGTCTGATCTGCTTTCCCTGGTGTTCTTGAGTGATGTGTGATATGGTGATGTTGACTGGCTGAGATTTTCCAGTCTTGTGAGGTCATTATGTAAGGTGTAGTTCTTGGTCTTCCCCTGAATTTGATATTAGTGGTCGTGCTGAAATAATAATCAACTGCTGTATTCGTGGGTGTTGAGTTATCCTGTCTTAGGATGTGTCCCATCAATCGCCACTGGGCTTCCAAAATGTCTAGTGATATTGGTCGGGATTGGCATCTAGAGTACAGTTTTTTTATTTGAGATTTTGTGAGGATATTTCATTTTTATCAATTGTCGGAGTTGTTTCCTGTAGAATATGTTGAGTTTTTCTTCGTTTTCTTTCTTTAGTCCCCATGTGCTGCTGTTGTAGAGAAGTATTGGCTTTACTAGTGAGTTGTAGAGTTTTAGTCTGATTTTCTCTTGAATTTTGTCTTTTCTTATCCAAACAGCTGATAATTTGTTCATTGCAGTGGACGCTAACTGCTTTCGTCTGGCAATGTCTTCTGTGTCACCCAGAAGAGACCCAACTTTCTTTGTTTTTCTCCAATCCTCTTCTTCAATGTCTTTTTTTCTTTTAATTATAGTATACTCTGTTTTTTCTTTATTTACTTTTAAGTTAAATTGTTTTAAGTTGACATAAAGAGACAAAAAAGCATTGGAAAACTAATTAACATACATTGGCCTGATAGCCCAAATAATGGCATTTCTGAAAAGCAGACATAATGAGAGTACTCATATTAGCCTACAGAGCCTTCTTTTTTTGTTTAATTTTTAATTTTTATTTTATTTTATTTATTATATTCAACTTTCACAGGAACAAAAAGCACCAGAATGGCAAAGAACAGAATCGGTGAACAAGCACCTTTACAAAGCCATCATACGACCAGAGCTACTGATCTAATAAATAAATAAATAAAATTTATATTAAAAATAAAGATTTATCCATTTGCAAGTAGAAAATTCTTTTTGATTTAAACTGCAGTATGTAAACAATATACATGTAAAAAACTCACCTGAAGAGCACCAAAAGAGCATTTGGAAATGTTTTAAAATTATTATTTTGGTTTATTTCTGAACCACTTTCTTGTGCAAGTTTTCCAAACATCTGTGAATAAAATGAAAAATATAAGCAATTTAACATACAGAATTTTTATGTATGATAGCAAAAGAAATGCTTAAGTTTCTGGGTATCATATACTCTTGTCAACATGTGACAAGTACTTGGTGTTTATTACTCCTGACAACTGACAAAATAGAAGGCTCACTTCAGAAACTACATTGATATCTAAACATGGCTTACCTGCATTCCAATTACAGCATATATAAAAAATAGCATGACAATTAGTAAGGCTACATATGGCAGAGCCTACAAAAGAGAAAATAATTTACAAAGTTACTATGGTCATTATTAGGATGTGTTAATGTACAATTACTATCAATTTTATGTATCATCATCATCATTACCTTTATCACATCCATCCTCTTCATCATAAAACCATCATCATCTCTATCATCATTATCATCATAAACATCACTGGACCAATAATAAAAACTATTCCAAGGAGCACCACTGTAATTCATCCACATTTTCATCCTCTCGTTGTCACCATCATATCATAATCATCACGGACACTTGTCGTTGTCGTCAGCACCACCACAACCACATCATCATCTTACCACCATTCCTCTCAATCAAAGCTAACACAAATCTAAAGCTCTGTCCACATTACAAAATTTGCTTTTAAAAAATGTTTGCCCATATATAGTCGTAACCTGCCTATACATGGTCATGATGTGACATCAACATGACCATACTTTAAGCATGTCACATGTTTTGTTAAAGAAAATTTTATAGTCTGGATCAGGTCTCTTAACCAACAAGAAAGGTTTTCACAAATTCCAATGTCCTCACCTGGAATGACTTAATGAAAGTCCATAATAATGTTCGTATTCCCTCTCCTTTACTCAGTAATTTGATTAACCTCATCACACGAAAAAGGCGAAAGAAGTTGATGCTTATTCTATTTTCACTTTCAGGCTATAAAATGAGAAAGAAGTCGTTAACAATAAGGTCTGCATTTTGCCTCAATCACCCTTTCCACCACCTGACAATTCTAAAGAAGTCTTGTGACTTGATAAAAAATTTCAACAATGATTCACAATTTTAAATGAGCATATAATAATGTAAATTATGATATTGATATTAGATTTAATGCATTTAGACATATGGCTTGGTTAAAATTTTCAGTAAAATCTAACCAAGGCTTTCTAACCAATCTTTGTTTCAGACATCTGAAAACCCCCAAATAAGTGAAGTGATTTGAGAGATCAGTATGTTGACACTGTAATATTTAAAGATGGATTAAAGTTTCACATAAATACTTGAGAATGACACTTTAAGCCTAGTTAAAGGATGTGAATATATTGCTTTGGTGTCGATAACACATGTGATATAGCACATGCAACTGAAATATATACAAGTGAAGTTGACACGTGTAGAATTCACAAATATAGAAACAATATTAAAGCAGTGAATGTTGCAAAACACAAAGATGAACAATTAATAAAAAATTTAAAAAGTATGCGAAAGTAATTTAAAAAAAGAAGGGGAAAATGAAACAAAATTGTTTGATAAATAATACAATGCTCAGTATACTGTAATTGTGTGGTATGTTGTCTGATAGGAAAGAGTACAATTACTGAGTCAGTCTTTGGTGCTTAGCTACAGAAGAAGTGATGATGTGCAAGTATTGAGCCTGTCAGTATTTAGCAAAATTGGTTAAGGTCAATACAAAATCCATAACTATGGGCTGTTCCTGGATTTGACATTTTGACAATTAAGAGCTACGGTAGTATACAAATATTAACTTCTCATGTTTTTATATACCTCATACATAGATTCTAGGAGGCCTAAAAAAGTAATGGAAGAGTACCCCACCAAGTAGACCTAGGCCTACTTCCGGCCTAGGGGGTCAAAGGGACAATCTCCCTCATCGTAGAGGACGCAGTCCCACTGTCCGTGCGTGTCACAAATTACACAGCGATGTTGGTGCTTAGAGATTACGACAGGTAAAAAAGTACTATTATTCAACATGATAGTACTTTTTCCCTAGAAATTTATGAACTATCATTCAACCTACGTCATAGGAGTGATGGTTGAATCAACTATCTGCTTTTTAATCAACCAGATGCCGGGGATGTATGTATGTGGTATATAATAATGAATAAACTTGTGGTGGCAACAGTGGGAGTCAGAGGTGAGATTCTTCATGTCGAAAAAGCATGGATCACCCTGTCGTCCTACACCACTTGAGGTCATTTGTCATCTTCTAAAACTCTGTCTACCACCATCAAATTTATGAGAATAAATGTGATATGACCAAATTTGGGTATAACATGACATCACCATGCCCATACATTTGGCATATCACACAAATTGTCATAAAATTTAATAATGTGAATTCACCTTTATAGGCCTAGAAACTGTAATTGCAGATCCTAATATTTGTTATTAACATCACCCACCACTGGAACCTACTAAACTGAGCCAACAACATTGAGTCCTGTCTTCTCCCACTAGGTCATTATAAACAAGGGTATCATTAAGTTGTGTATTCATATTAATGGTAATCATGAGACCAACATTCAGTATTCATCCAACAACATTCTCTCCATTCTCACCTTTATAGGCCTAGCAACTGTAATTGCAGATCCTAATATTTGTTATTAACATCACCCACCACTGGAACCTACTAAACTGAGCCAACAACATTGAGTCCTGTCTTCTCCCACTAGGTCATTATAAACAAGGGTATCATTAAGTTGTATATTCATATTAATGGTAATCATGAGACCAACATTCAGTATTCATCCAACAACATTCTCTCCATTCTCACCTTTATAGGCCTAGCAACTGTAATTGCAGATCCTAATATTTTTTATTAACATCACCCACCACTGGAACCTTACTAAACTGAGCCAATAACATTGAGCCCTGTCTTCTCCCACTAGGTCATTATATACAAGGGTATCATTAAGTTGTGTATTCATATTAATGGTAGGCATGAGACCAACGTTCAGTATTCATCCAACAACATTCTCTCCATAAAAGCCATAAATCTCTTCCTCTTCAATGACCATGCACCCACATTGAGGCAATCAGAATGGTCTGCGAGCTGCTAGCAAAAAGCTCCTCCACTCTTGGTAAGCTATAGCTGTTTAAATCAACAATTAACTAAAATCTGCTCTAGCTTTTTTTTTTTTATGTATTTATACAATTGTATACTATGTTTTTACAATGATTTATAGCTATATCCATATAATTTAACTTTACTCCAACTCAAACTTAGGACACAGTGGAAGCCATAACCACTAGACTACAAAGTATATGTCTATTTGTGTGTGTACTTTTTAATTTAACCTTTTGATACGAATTATTAGTTGGTATGAAAGGCTTCAAAAGTGTAAAGAAAATAGAAACATTATGAAACACCTTAGATAGAAAACATTAAAATTACGAAGTGCAAATTTGTTTTGATAATTAGCTTCAGAGCTATGCAATAAGCATATTTACAGCAAGAGAATGAATCCATTTAAAAGATAAATTTCACAATACTGTACAGAAAAATATGAAATGCAACATTTAACTACTATGATGTTATATTAGTTCTATAGTTTTATGAATGATTGGATTTTCAATGGAATAAATTTATTTAAGACTACAGCAAGCCAATGTTTTCGAATATAAGTTTAAATACTGATGCAATTTAAGTCATGCTCCAGGGGAAGAAAAAATATAGAACCAAAAAACTCAGGCATTTGTGGCTACTCTTGACTGAGAATAGTTGAATGGCATGCTAGAAGTAGATTACTACAGAGGGCGCTCTCACCTTCATGGCATCAGAGATGTCAGAATCTGATCTCTTTAAACAGACACATAAAAAGAATTATTAGAAAAGGCATAGTTGCTTCTAACACTAATATTAGATTCTATGAAGCTTATGATCAATAGAAACAAACATAACTTTCGAGACTAGTGCGTAGATGTCGTGAGTCACCAGCTTCCGTGTACTTCACATGAAGGCATACACGAAGACTTGTGACTCAATAATCTACACACTAATTCTTAAGTCCTGCTTGTTTTAAATAATCACTGTTCTACAAGACTAATATGGTTGCTCGTTATTATGAAGCATATGACTGTAACAACCAAAGGATCATCTATCTCTGTTAATTGATGCAGTATTTTTCCAGGGGTAGAATACATAATCATTGCATATTTATGCCAATATTCCTATCGTTTACCTACATGCAGTCTACAACTGTTTTTTTTTTAATTCAACAATAAACCAACTACAACATGAATACACAAATTTCACATAGCAAACATAATCAAGTACAGTATGTTTTGTTAAAATGCTCGGACGTTTACCGAAAATATCTGTAAAAAATCCAATTCGTTAAGATTGCACATAAGAGAAAAAAATTAATGTAATAGTGTCAAACATAATTTTTTATAAACTAAAAAAAACCAAAAAACAAATAATACAAAAACAAAATTTAATACACATTGCTAACGTTAACAAAATTTATACCTCTTGGTTTCAATTGCATATATTGATACTTTCAATTGCTATTAATTTGATATAGTTCATTCAATTAAAAAAAATTACTTACAGTTTTACCTGTACTAAATTATTCCAATATATGCTATCAAAATGCTTTCACAAATGAGTTTACAATCAAACACTGAATCTCATTTAAATCTACTCTTTTGATCCCCACATTCCCTTCCGCCCATTTATTACTCCTTTCATCCATCAATCACCTTTACCTTCTCTATTAATACTAAACTGTGTGAATGCTTTACAAAAACAAAACAATTAATTATACTATACACTGAATATAAATCATGTTAGATATAGATAAAAATACTTGAACACATCTAGAAACATTAACATATTAAAGCCTAAGATGAAAAAAAAAAATTCCCACATATTTAATACCTTTACTACAATCAGTAAGAGTTCAGTAATAGAAGAATACGTACAATGATGACTGATGATGATGATGATTTATTTATTTATTTATTTAAAACCATATTTAAGGAGGGTGGCCCATCAAGCAAAGCTGATCAATGATGTGATGTTTATAATGAAGATGATGATGTTATGTTGATAATGACAATAAGGTTCAGATAAAGAATCAGATGAGAAAAGTAGACTTTGTAATATTTACAATGATGATAATGTAAAATATTATTGATAATGATAATATTAACATGATAGGATACAATGTATTGCATATTCAACTTTAAAAATTGACTGTGAAATTAATATATGTACTGTAATAATCCAACAGTTCGATGTAGTAAACAAAGTAAATCACTTTATAAATTATTTTAATTTTAAATCTTAAAAAGATAATTACTTTCTTAATAAATAGTATTTGAAATTATAAAGCCCTGTTCAGACTATCAAATTTTATTTGACAAAAACATGTGATATGCCTAAATATGGTCATGATGACATCACACCATGACCATATATAGGCACATCATGACTATATATGGGCATACAAAAGTGATTTGTCAGTGCGGACAGAGCTATAGATATTTTAGTGATCATTTATTTTACACATTATGATGAGAAAGAGGATTACTGAAAACCAGTAACAAAAAGTTGATAACTAAAAATAAATAACTAAATAAACTGAACAAGTCAAATTATAATATGGATAATGTGGCGATGTCCAGCAAAACCAGTCACTCTTTGCAAATGGTGTTTTGGAGATAATGGCCAAAACATTCTGGAATGTCTACATTTTGGAAATCTATTTTATTGCACTAAACTAACCTTTACATATCTATACATCATGCTATGTTGTTATTTTCCCCACTATTAATGTTAAAACAACATTTTTTAACAATTTGGTGGTGTTTCTGCCTGAAAAATGCCCGAAATCATACATATTGAAGGCTGATTTCTCAAATACTGTACAGTACTAACACCTTTTATATTTCAACTCCTGTAACTTCATAACAAAATGTCAGATTTAAATGATTCTTTTACCATTTTATTGTGCTCATTTTACTGTTGAACCCTATATTAATAACTAATAATCAATTTCTTGCAAGGAGGGACTGGTTTGGCTTGTTTTTCCATAAATATTTAAAATAAAATTATTAATAACAAAAACATATAAACTTTTTAATAAACAGGTGGAAAAGTGTTGCACATTCCACTCCAGGTCTACAATCGATAACATATTTTTTTAACCAGAAAAATACTATCAATATATAAATTTTAAAATGCAAATTAATAAAAAGGGAATATGCATCCATGCATGAACAAGGGATACATGCAAAATCTGCAAACAAGATGAATTCATCAGCATTCCATTCATTAACATAAAATGACATTCTACAATTTTACAAAACATCTTTAAAACACCAGATAAAACATAAATTGACAATATCCGAATACAAATCATAGTATAACAGGCAAGGTGACTGTTGTGGAACATAACTTTTATCATAGCAACAAGTAAGGACAATATACCAATTATTTAAAAAAATTTTGGTAAATGACAACAAATTTACAATAAAAAAGGAAAATACTATTGTAATTTACCGATAAAAACTGCATTAGTTCCCAGCAGATAAGAAAAAAAAAAATGATAGTTATGTAATCATCTTTTCTAAAAAAAATATTCAAATATTTATAAATACTTTTAATCATTCATATTCATTAATACTGATAAATATTCATATTAAAATTATTCATGAATATTTATTACTATTGATAAATATTCATATTAAAAATTGTTCATGAATATTCATTACTATTTATGACGACAACAAAATAAATTACTGCATGGAAAATTATTGTTTTGTATCTCTATTCATAATAACCAAACCATTGGTTTAAACACTATTTAAATATATGAACATTTTTTCAGTGAATTTAAGATAAAATAATAACTGTTATCAGAACACCGTAATGGAACAGTTTCACTCCAAGTTAAATACATTTGTACATAGTTTTATAGTTTGTAATAAGGATGCTCTGTGTAAAATTAAATTGCTTCTAATCAGGCCTACTGTGAAACTGACTGAAGCATTTCCTTGTGGTCACAAGGTGGGTGGGTAATGAAGCAGCAAGCTGAACAAAGGGGGTGCTAAGTTCTTCAGAGTAAACAACCAATCATACTAATCAAGAAATCTATTTTACTTTTAAATTTGAAAAACAAGATAGGTAATCAAAATGTTCATTTTTCTTTAAATGTAATTCTTTAAGTTTTATTTTCCTCTTAATCAGTCAAATAATCGCAATTTGTGTAGCATGAATAGTTTAAAATGTTGTAAAAGCAATAAACTGGACTTGACAGATATGCTGTATCAAATAACGCTGCTACAATACAAATGAATAATTTGATCAAGCAAGACATCACATTATTATTCAAGCATGAAACTGACAAGCAATGTATTCATCAAGTTAGGAGTTCCAATAGACATTTTGCTTAGTTAAATATTAATATTTATACTGCAACTAATGCAGAGCACTCACTGAGGCTGACGGCTGATGCGATTCCATGGAGAACAAAACGTGTCGACGGACACGCAACAAATTGTTTTAATGACGATCTGTTCAGACAGCCACCGACTATCAACAGACGGTGTTGCGTCGTCTAGTGCTCATAGGGAGCAGATTTGGGTTCGTCAGCCGACAGTCGTACGGTGCAGTCAGTGCCCGGCTTAAGAATTCGCAAACAATATTTAACAAGGCAATACAGCAAAGCTTATCATTGTGAGTAGAGAGCTGATCATTTGGAGCCACTGATAATCTAGTTTTTGTTTTTTTATCAGGCTTGATCATTTGGGACCCAAAGTGTATGAAGCTTGGGGAAGAGAGAGCTGATAATTTCATCTAGCTATTACAAAATAAACAACTGGTTTTCAGCCGAAATAAATTATTTGATTACCGGTAAATATGGGCCACCAAAAAAAAATGGTAGGCTATTAAGTAGCTAATGATTTTTCCTCAGAAATTTCAGTAGAGTTTAGTTTGAATTGGTCTGGCTGACAAAGGCTTTGTATGCTTTATATCATTATCATATAGCTAATGAGAAAGAACATTTTCAATGTTATGAATGATATGTTACAAATGGATATCACCTACGATGATATTGCAGTTTTAAACATTAATGACATAATAAAATAATAGTGCAGTACAGTTATTTATTTTGAATTAGGTTGTGCTTTGTATGCTTTATATCATTATCATATAGTCATACCTTTGGTTTAAATGCAATGATTTTGAGTAAAAATTCAACAGCAAAAGCCCCGGTGAATACCATATTTAAATAATCTAAAGTATCTTCATATTTTTGAGGTTGTTTATGAAACTGAAAAAAAAAGAGAAAATATTAGATTTAATATTTCAATTCATAAACATAAATATTATTGAATTCTACTTGAAACATGCGCAGTTGTTGTTACGGACTTTTTGTGTGGTAAAGAATACAAAATTGCTTGACAACCAATACGTACTTGTTTTGACGCGCTACTGTGATTTCACGAACTAACACAATCTACTTTGATTGTGTTAGTTCGTGATGTGATCGACGAATTAAAGAACAACTTTTCTGTGGTCCTATATTAACAAGTGTCTTATCTTTATTATTCTAATTTGAGACCAAATCTACTAAAGACCACGAAAACCCCAGTCCCAAGAGTGGTCATTAATTGAATTGAGAACTGTATATTTTTTTCTTGCACTAATAAGTCCCTTAGGTCATTATTTTCCAATATTGCTCTCAAAATGTTACATTAATTGCTTATTTTATATTTTTGTCCCTTACCTTCATTGCTAATATAATAGTATTTAACATAATAAGGATAAATATAGTATATTCAAATGGTCTGGATGTCACTATCTTCCAGATCTTGAGTTGCTTTGCATTTTTGGGGATATATTTCCGAACAGGCTTTGCATTCAATGCAAATTCCATGCATTGACGCTGTAAAAAACAAGAAATATTCATTTACTCATTAATTCTGCCTTTACCAGCAAAATAAATGTATATGTATAGGTTGAATAACAGTGTTCTATAATAGATATGACTAATTGTGCTATTAAATTAAATGATGCTAAAGTTATTCTAAAAAATTGTATACATGAATAAAAAAAATAATAATATGATATTTTAATATTGTGGAAATTACTATCTAAAGTCCAAGTAAAAATAGTTACCATTTTTATATGCAAGTCTCCCTCTAATTAAAGATCCCTCCAATTAAAGGCCACCTCCAATTAAAGACCACTTACTTTGGTCCCAAATTAACAAATGTCTTTTATCTTTATTATTCTAATTAGAGACCAAAGCTGCTAAAGACCATCATCGAAATTCAGGTCCCAAAAGTGGTTTTTAATTGGAGAGAGACCTGTACTATCATATGAAATATGAGTCATGACAGTATGTTGCATATACCAATGGTAACTTAACTACAATCATATGGAATTTGGACTTTACTATCAAACCATACAAAACTCGGAAACGAGAGTAATAAAAATTCTAATACCTGATTTTTGTCCAATTCACAATTTTTATACTCTTGCTCTCCAGCACTCTGAAATGTGACGATGACGAAACCCACAAAGATGTTGACCATGAAGAACGCTATCACAATGATGTAAGCAAAATAGAATATTGCTACTTGCGGCCTGTAGTTGTAGATAGGTCCAACGTCCTTTTCATGCGAGTCAATTGAAACGTATAACAATCTAAAAAGGAAAATAAAAATCACATGTTAATGCAGCAAAAGAGAAACCAGAGATGTGAGCAGAGATCATTGTGCCAGTAAAAAATACAATTCACCCTCAAATTTGAGACCACCTTTGGGCCCTAAAAATTTGGGGTGGTCTCGGGGTTTGGTCTCTACGTAGAGGGTTAGCTTAGTGTTAATAGACTAAAGATAGTTACTTGGTTCTTTGAAAAAGTGGTCCTGGATTAGAGGGGTTTTTGGTTATTGCTGAGGGGATTCAATTCCCATTAAAGGCTTATAGAGTTTAGAGGTTTATTAATTGTAATAAAGCCCAGGACCACAGGTTTGGAAGGCAAGCACAATCTTCTCCACCAAGTTATACTATTATTGCTGTTACTCCCTCTATGAATTAACAGAATATCTGGCAATGATATTGGATTACACAAAGAATCTGTGATGTTGCCAGTCTATGAGTAAGATACTTACCTGGATAAATTGCCAACAAGTTTATCGGTTTATCCAGGTATGTATTTATGAAATTACCAGCTCATGGATCCAGACAACATGAATGAAATGTTAACCCAGGGAATTATTATGGCTTCACAATGACTGTGATCACTTTCAATCTAATAACAAGGGAACTAAAACAATATTACCAGACACTGATGCTACAATAATAAAATTATGTGTATGTAATAATACATTCTTAATGTACTGTACCTCCTTTCACTATTAACATTGTTATGGGAAAATCACATAAAACAGGATAGTAAACACAGAGCTTCATATCACATCATAGTATATTTTGCATTCAAGTCAACACACGACAGACATATGACATAAAAAATGAAAAACATAACAGTTAAGCCAAATGTCTGGGAGCTCACCAAAGTGCCGCTAGCAACAAAAGACTTACTTTGGCCATCCTTCAAATGTAGAGACAGTGAAGAGTGAGAGCATAGCAGAGTAAATGGTGTCAAAGTTAAACTCATTCGTTGTCCAACTGCGGTTCATTACTTTCGGATGATTTATATCGCCATCAGGATAAGTAAAAAATTGTCCCCTAAAAAATTAACAATCAGTTAGGTTAGGTAAGCATAGTGGTACAAATACTTGAATGTGTTAAGCTGGCCACTCACTGCTTCGTACGACGGTCATACGACTGTTGGACGACAAATGCAAATCCGCTCTATGTGTTCATTAGACGACGCGACACCGTCTACTGATTGTCAGTAGCAACAGATCATCATTAAAAAACAATCCGTTGTGTGTGCTTTGTTTTTTCCATGGAATCGCGTCAGTTGACGACCGTCATCTGCAGTGAGTGCTCCGCTTTAGCCTTGAGTGGATTGGGTTATACTGGATTTATTTGATGCGAACAAATTATGAACTTACTTGCAAACATCCTCCGTAAGCTTTGAAGCATCATTGCACCTTTGGAACTTTCCTGCAAACAATTGCACTCCGATACAAGCGAACATAAAGGTCAGAAGTAACGTGACCAGCATGATGTTGCCGATGGTCTTGATGGCAACAATAACACACTGAACAACATGCTGTTGGAAATGATCAACATTGTAATCATAAAATTTGATTAACACCATATATTTTCTAAATTATTATCACTGAGATAGCTATACTTTAAATGAGTTATTAACTAACAATGACTGAGAGATTAAATCAAATTATTATTATTATTATTATTGTTATTTTCCTAAAATGAACTGAAATACACATACCTTAAGCCCTTTGGCCCTGTTGATAGCTCGGAGGGGCCTGAGCACCCTTAAAACCCTCAATATCTTGACAGCAGAGATTCCTTCCTTGCCCCTAATAAAAGTATACCAGTAATACTTATGAAATAAAATAATTCCTAGCATACAGTAGCATTCTAGAAATAATCCATTTTTACTATTCAATAGAAAGATAATAAAAGCATATATAATAATTAATATATATCATCATAAAGTGGAATTTGCAGAACTTTGATAAAGTGTCAAGGTACCACACTATCTTCTACCAAATTCCCCACCACATTGTTCTTACTGTAGATAATATTTAAGAATGGACACTTGCTAACAAAATGAATATTACCTTAGAGTAAAAGCCTTAATGTACATGTTTGGAGCTTAGACATGTCAAATAAACTACTACCTAGGCCCTGCTGCTAAACTTTGATAAAGAAAATATGAAAATAATAATCAGCCTAAAAAATAACATTATTTTGATTGCTAATTCCTAATATTTTGGTCTAAATGCACAATTTTGGGCCATACTAAGCTATAAAAACTCCCTACATGAACCAAAAATTATATTCCGGGACCCTGATAGAGGGCCCCTCTGTTGGACTTGGTCGGCCCAAATTTCTGGGGAGTCATAAAAAAACACGGGAGGAAACATACTACTGTGCCCCTACTGATCTCTGCAACTAATTATACTGGATCTTATAGTAAATCATTAGAGACTTTCTATAAAAAAAAAATGAAATAATAGATAACAAATGTTGACAATATTTAAAAACCAATTGTAAACATGCGGATAATGTGTGATATCGTGGTGCTAGTCCGTCAGCCGCAAATGCACATGCCGCTGGTTCACCAGTCAAACATGGAATTAATATACACAGTGGGCATGCGGACACGTGGTCATTGGACGTACAGATGTAGGAACGTTGTAGTCCATGAAATGATGTGAATTGTTGAAGAACAAATAGCTTTACACAAGTGTAGGCATGCCAGTAACAATGGACCTTTCCGCTAAGCCCCGCCCCTTGAATACTGTTGCTAAGGTCCCACAAGACGGCAGTGTTAAAACATACGCGAACACGTGCGTTCGTGGGACAACACGTGTGTTTGTAAGACGCGCGCGTATTCCTAGCGCTGTTCTGATTAGTCAGTTGTTAAGTTTGATTGACACTCCGGAAAGGTCTATTGTCTAATATACCGCAACACATTTATCAAGGCTAGCTTTAACATTACCAACTGAAATCTATGTTAATGTTATTTAGATTAAATCATTAATTAGAGACTTGTTACATAATATAATATAAACGATTACGTACTGTGAACATTTTAGATTATTTTATTCAAACATGGTTTAAACATTACTACCAGATAGATGTTGATCTATCTATCATTGTAATAGCAAGTGCCTTTTTGTTATGGATTAACAGCTTAGCTTACCATTACCACCATCACAAATATGTTCCTTACCCCTCTGTCCAACTTAAAAGTGATGGCTTAGTGCAAGTTGTTAAAAGTTATATGCAACTGGTTAACATCAGTCACAGTTATTAATTGGCAGGTTTAGTTTAGAAAAGCAGTTAATAGTCTTAGCAATTGGTTATCAGCTATGGAAAGTGGTTAATATTTGTTTATAGCAATGTCACTGCACATTTTCTAAGTTAGCAGGTTTCATCGTATGAAAGATCATCGTATGAAAGATATATAATAATAATACAGAGATGTATACTGCACATTTTGCAAAGAAATGCAAGGTGCTGGGGATGATATTATTGATTGAGGGACATGACAACAAACAGAATTAAACTTGCATAAGAATCCAGGTAACTCTGCTTAATGAAGCATTGCATTAATGTTTCCTGACCAATGCATGACCCACCAGATTCAAACCTATGGTTTCTCAGTATATTAAGGCTGAAAAAAAACCAAACAGAAGAGGAGAGAATAACAAACAGGAAAAGTGAGAAAAAAGCTAATAAAATATTAAAATATAGGAATATATAGAATTAAGTGTAGAATTAAAATTAAAAAGGCAAAATGAGAAGACAGGGACACAAAGTAGAACAAAGTGAGTTTAGGAAGCAGGATGGAACAAACAATTTACAATCGACAAAGAAAAGACAAGGTGAGAGAACTGAATGGCATGGATGCAAGTTCAAGATGGACTACCTTCAACTGTACATTAAATTACTACTGAATTATACTTCTTTATGACAACATCACCATTTCATTGGTAATTTATAGTCACATGGGGCATAATAATGAGAGGCCAACACTAATCATGATTAGTATCGCTGCCATAGTAACAGTGCACATCTGAATGGAGCAAGCATGATAAATAGATTTTAAGTACTACTCACTCAACCTTATTGGAAGGCATGCTAAAAGTAAAAAGTTTGAGGATTAAGAAAAATAATAAAAGAGAAAGAAAACATAGAGAGAACTAATAAAAACCAAAAGCATGCATGAAACACCATGTTGATGAAAGGCTACAAGAGGAAATGTTAAAGTATATAAGAAGATATATAATATATATAAAGATATACTATCTGTGGAAAAACCTTAAATAATCAATTAAAATATTTGATTAAATTTGTAACAGGATCAAATAAGTTAACAATGGACGCAGATTGGAACCAATCTTTTTTTTAATTTAAATTTTGATTTGCATATGCAAATTAGATTTACAAAAATCTTAAGTATATCTTTGCAAAGAATAGGGGAACAGTAATTATCTTGTTCTCATCTTTATTTCTATATATTATTAAGCCCTGTGCAGACTATCAAATTTTGTTTGACAAAAACATGTGACATGTCTAAATATGGTCATGATGACATCACACCATGACCATATATAGGCACATCATGACTATATATGGGCATACAACAGTATTTTGTCGAAGAAAATTTGATAGTGCGGATAGAGCTCTGCATACAAATATTGAAATTACCAGCTTAACACAGACAGTATAACTTTAAATAATAAAGAGAAGTTAAACCTCGTCTCGAAAAATTCTAGGAAAAGTAAATAATACGGATTCATGTATCCAACGATTACCATATTCCTGAAAACCATATTAAACTTCATAAACCAGGAAAACCCCAATTTCCCAGTTAATATAGAACAAAAAATTTAGTACATTTAAACTTAAATTTAATTACCCTTCTCCCTCCATCATAACTCTAGATGAGACAACAAAATTTGAGCATATAATTTTATTTTAAATTTCATTTATTTTCAAGTTCATATATAATACAATATTACTTTTACTGTATATGCATAAATCAATTTTAATTTTACAAAAGTATTACAAATTTGATACAATTAATATTTAATTAGAAGTAATAGAATAGAAATATTATAAGAAAAAAAATTAATTAAAATGCATGAATAATATATGGATATTTCCGATATGATAATGATGAAGATAAATGTAGGAGCAAAAAAAATTAAGAGATCCTGTTGAAGTAAACTAAAGACCATTGCAATAATATAAGGATATTTCCGATATGATAATGATGAAGATAAATGTCGGAGCAAAAAAATTAAGAGATCCTGTTGAAGTAAACCAATGACTATAGCAACAAGCATGGTAATGCTATCCTGGGGTCAGCAGATGAAACTGACCCTTGACATGCAAAGAATCATGGGATTAATACACACCATGCTGATTCAACTCTGCATTTCTACTGTGCTATATGTGTTTCCTTGAAACAGGGAGGTAGATTAAAAACAAAAACAATTATTGGCTTGCCAGATGGACTTATTTAAGCATGAACTTACTCTAAGGAATATGAGATATAGGAGACTGTGACAACCAGTAGATCCAAAAGGTTGAAGGAGTTACGACAAAATGCTCCTTTGTGAATAACCAATCCATACGCTACAACCTGCAAAACAACAATAAATAATAATTTATTTTGATGTAGCAATGCATTGTCTGCTTCTACTTGTGGATTGGATCCAATGGTCACCAAGCGCAAGCTCGGTGATTTAGGGTGTGTTTCTACTGATAAACACAAAATAATCGATTTTTTAAAACCGTTTTTTTAATGAGTACCAGACAGTCACGAAAAAATCGGTTTTCGTGACTGAAATTACGTCACCATTTTGTTTATACAACACATTGTTTTCCTAACTGGATAGTATCTTTCTCATTCCTGTCATGATGACGAGGAGTAAGATACGATGTGGGGGCGAGAAGGCAAATGTTTTCGGCTGTGCTCATCGGCACAATACGGTAGGCCCAAAAGAGCGGAGAGGCCTAGGCCCAATATCACCCCCCCACAAAATAATTACAAAATGAATTCGTCACTCCACATGAAGAGGACAAATTATTTTTGAAAGTTCCTGCCTAATACGATCTAGTCTTTTCAGTGATTGACCTGGAGGTCACATTTCACCTGAAACCGCTTTTTTTTTTTCGCTTTTTTTGTGTTGCAGCTAAAAGGTGCACAGCCAAAATCGGTTATTTGCCGTTCAAACACGCTATCCATTGCGTGTTTTTAATTGATTTTTTTTAATTGCTTTTTTCAAATTGGTCCCGTTTCTACTGCGAGAAAAAAAGCAATTTTTCGAAAAAGCGATTTTTAATCGATTATTTCTTTCCAGTAGAAACAGGCCCTTAGTGATGATGACACCATGGCTAGTTATGTGGAGGTCGTAGGTTCAATTCTCACCTGAATCACTTGCCACATTTTTTGCAAGTATTCGGGAACGTACTGAATGTTCATTTCGATAACATGTTAGGTATGGCAAAAGCATCAATCCTAACAAGTAATTTGTTGTGTATAATTTTGTGACTAGATTTTTTTATTTCAACATCTCATTACAGTTAAAACTGAATTGCGAGTATGGATGTTAAGAGGAAGGAAATTGCAGATCTAGTAGCCTTCTCAAAAATCTACTATAGTCCAGAAGCTAAAAGATCATGTGTGCTGATATTTACCAGAAAAAGAATAACACAACAATAAATCTTGCTTTAAAACTTCTTACCTTCAACATAATTTCTATAGTAAAAATACCAGTGAATACATAATCAAATTTCTGAAGAATCTGGAAGAGAAAATAAAATAAAATTTATTCTCAACAGTACTGATGAAAAAATGAAACCATGAGCAAAAACTAATATACTAAAAGGTAATAAATAAGTGGATATTCATATACTTGTATAAAGGTAAATAAAAAAAACATTTTACAAAAAAAAAACAACATTAGAATTAATTAATCCCACCAGATTTGAAAGAGCCAACCTTCAAATTATACAAAACAGATAAACAACCCTTGGTACATGCTGTACATATAAATCAGTATTTTACTAGACATAATTATGAGAATCTTAGTTGTATGCATTTATACGGTTGTTCACAATTGGCATTAATACTCCAGTTTCTCTTACTGCTGCCACAAGTTTGTTTGAAATTTCCCCTGCAATTAACATAGAAATTTGCAGGTACTGAATTAAACCTATATCCTGGGATTCTACTAGGATTGAACTTATTGAAGGGGGGGGGGGGGGAAAAGAGAAAGAGAGTGGTTGCTTCAGTGGTTATGATTTAACTTCTCAACCTTGAGGTCGGAGGTTCAAGACACTGAAACCACACTGTACAGATGCCTTAACAACTGAGGTATGAGGCTTAATTAGTATACTCCCTTGCTTTTCTCATTAGGACACAGCATATTACACGATGATAAATCATATAATAGTAAATTTGATATTTAGAAAAAAATTGTCATAAAATATTAATCATGCTCAATAAATACTAATCCTTCATTCAGCACAAAAAAAATATCAGTAATCCTACTCCTTAAACTTCGATATTTGCATGCCATAACCTCATATTATGCAGTTAATGCACTCATTAGAGTTAGATCAAAGCAAACATGCAAAGGATGGCGAATTACAGAAGCAAACCGACCGATATGTCAAGTAGCGTACAAGGTGATGTGAGATTTGACATTTAGTAACTTGAGCATGCTTAAGACTTTGATTATGAATGGAAAGCTTTGACAGAAGTTCATTTGTATTTACAGAGGACTATAGGTTGATGACACTTGCAAACTATGTTGTTTACTCGATTGCTCTAGATTAGAAACTCTAATGTAATATTGAACTGTATATTATATTGGTGATGAAACGATTCAGGATGATGTAAAAATATGTTGATGTTGATAATTATGTTGCAATTGAATGAAGGTCATGATGATCATATTCATGATGATTCTGATGATGAAGATAATGATGATGGTGAATATGATGAAATTGGTTGTAATCCTGATGATAATGGTGACGATAAAGCACAAACAATATCCATTTACAATGACGAAATGCACTGTACAAAATTTTAATGATAAGGATAGTGATGATGATAATGATTAAGTGCTAATACTGGTTATGATTATGATGATTGATAATGACAAGATGGTGATACTGATGATGATCACTGATGACAGGATGATGCTGAGGTAATTATTATGACAATGATAATGCTGTTGTTGATAATAATAATTTTTGATCTGATGATAACAACAATAATATTACAATAACATAATGATTGTAATAGATATAAAGAGCATGCAGTCATAGCTATGTGAATGAGTATTAATTTGCCAAATGTTAAATGTATATGCTAGTGCCTCCAATGCCTCATCATGCCATAACATCCTCCAACTGTGCCACTCAAGATTCAACATTCCTCCTGTGGCTATACAACTTTCCAATGCATTCTGAATAAGAATGATCTCAAATACTACTAAATCACAGATTCTTATGCAAAAAGGATTTGTGATCAAATGTAAGTGTACCTACTTAACCTCCAAGGTGCGAAAACAACAACTCATTACCAGACAGACATGCAGACAACAATGGCTAGAAAACTACTACATGAAAAAGAAACATAGATATCACAAATTAATAATATAAATCAAAACAAAATTAAAAGAATTGAAAGTAGACAAATCAAAGTAATAATAAAAAATTAAATATGATAAGACTACAGATTATTGACCATAAAAAGTACATTTGTAATTAATAAGGAAGAATAATTGCTTATTATTATAAATATGGTGTCTCTAGATGGCTGGAAATGGCACTCTCATACTTAAATCTGAATATAATTTTCTTTTTTTCTCTATTTTTTTTATGATTTTGAAAAAATTAGGGGGAGAGAGACCCAGGCAGGCTGGGCTCCTCCCCCCACCCCGGGGTCTGTCACATACAGTATCACACCTCAGTCATAACATTGTCACTTTCTGATTAATGTTTATTGTATATGCCTCCTTTCTGTAAGTGGCACACTAAAAAACTACTTATACTTGATGAAAACAGGCAGTCAACTTTTACTAACCAACCTTAATGAGGTAGTTTTAATAACAGATCATTGTACAGTGCACCCTCTAATTTGAAATCTCTCTAGAAACCACTTTTTCAAAGAACCAAATGACAATCTCCAATCTAATCTATTAACATTAAATAACACTCCATGTGGAAACAAATCCCAGAGACCACCATAAATTTTCAGGTCGAAAGGTGGTCGTATATTCACTCCTTGGACACAGTCTCCTGCAAGAGTAGGTTAATTGATCAACCAGTTCATGTAGGCCTACCTCATTCCTTGTGTTTTGTTTATTCACAGGATCCTCTGCTGCTAACATAGCACTGCTAACCATAATCAGAACAAGCACCACATTGGAAAAATAGTTGTGATTTACGACAAAGAAGCTAGCTTTTCGAAACCTGAAAGAAACAATATAAAACCGAACGTGTTATCATACTGAATACTAAGAACAAGAATTTTAAAGTGATTCAGTTGGGATTCAAACCCACGTCCTCCAAATAACTAGCCTGGTGTCATAACCACTACACCACCAAGCTAGTGTTGAATCTGATAAGTGCCTTATTGCAAAAGGACATTATGAAATAGGACAGCGTGAGATTTTACCTCTCGACTTCAAAGTTAAAAGGGCAAAACACACTTATTGCATCAACAACTCGCATAATGTTATTAAACATTTTAAAAAAAAACCATGCAATCTGGTCCATAGCTGGTGGCTGAAATAATCTACATACAAGTTAGCAGCATCCTACTTTCAAGTGATTGAATCAAGTATGACAACATCTTACCTATTATCCTTTGAAAAAATGAAAAGTGAGCTCTCCTCGGGCATCGGATGCTTCTTTATCTGAAGATTCAATTGTGACATTCTACGAGGACGAGCTGTCACGGTAGTTGAATCGTCTTCTTCATCCTCCTCAGGACATCCTTCTTCCGTTAAAACTAAAAAGCAAAGAATGTTCGAAATTAAAATTCTGAATGATGAGGATAAATCCAGGGATGGTCTGAGAGAAAAGCATGCAAGAAATATACTGACTCAGTGGAAGCAAAGTCAGTATATCTTTTTATATTAATTTTTGATATGCTGGCATGCATTATCTATGAAATATACAACTGTGGTTAAATTTTTTATTACCAATCGCTTTTCCATCTTCATCAATGGTTTTGTCAGTAAAGTTTTCATCTGGAACCCTAGAATTAAAAAAATGTTTGAGTTGAAATACTGAATATAGGTCAGATTCTGAATTTAAACATAATTTCAATGTTGAGTACAAATACTATCCCAAGTCATGTTTTTTGTTTTTTTGTTTTTGTTTTTTTCATTCATCCATCCAACAATTCATTTCAATTCTACTTGAAATTTTCATTAAGTTAAGGTATAAAAATGACATTTGTGACATTCACAAGACATCAATAAAACAATTACTTAGCTTCAGCCATTTAAATGGAAAATATTTGGAACACTATCCACAATTATTATTTAATAATTTACAGTAAATCATGCTGTTCTTTTTAAACAACAGAATGAACATTTATAATAATAGAGAATAATATTCTTTATTTTGGAGAGTGTAACCTTGACATTTCATCTACTAACCTTCCATTTTTATGATTCTGTTCATAGTTCATTTTCGCTCTTCTTTCCTGCAGGTGTTTCGGACCACGATTGATTCCTGATGGATCCATTCCCGGTGCAAGTTGTCTCGATATATCTTCCATCTTATCTGCTTTACGTTTTGATTTATTGCGTGCCTTTTCCTCCTCCTCTTCCTTCTCCATTGCAGTTAGACTTTCAGCGTCTGCTAAGTTGTCCACGGCGATGGCCAAGAATACATTTAATAAAATATCTGATTATCGGTTAAGCAAAATCATCCTTTCATTATACTGTAGGTTTTTTGTAATTATGTTTGTTCTTTGTCTGGTGTCATAGAATATACCTTCCCACAAATGTTGCCAAATTGACAAATATTTCCCCATTTACATGGTATTATAATAATAATCGTTGACTTATATAGCGCATGTTGTAGACTAACCTCTATGCGCTTTACATATTACCCCCAGTCACTAGATCAAGCACATGGAACACAACACTCATGCCCCATAATGTTGCAGCTGTAATCAGCGCATGGTTGTGTTTGAACCCACCAGGTACCCACTTGTACTCCTGGGTGGAGAGAGACAACCGCAGATAAAGTGCCTTGCCCAAGGACACAAGCGACTTGCACAGCGAGAGTTTTGAACTCCTGACCTTAAGGTTGGGAGTCCAAGCCACAACCGATGTGCCAACCACTTCTATGGTCCTACCAAATCGATTGTGATGATGGTAGTTGTATTGATTTTGGGGCTGGGTTTTTTTTTACCTATATACAGGCAGTTCCACTGTGACAGTAGCTCTAAGTATAAGATGGGAAAAGTCTACCGATATGATGGTTTAAGAGAGGTTGTACCAACATCACACTAGTTTCATCAACATGATGACACTTCTACCAACAACACCTGTATGGTTGTAGTTATTAGTATTAGTAGGTGGTACCCTTAATCTCAATGGAGATGAGTTGACTAATCTTTGTAAAAGGATACAATTACCACAAATAAATAGCACTATAAAATAAGTACTGGCTAAAATTCCAATTGAATGAATGCCCCCGTAAGCTTCAATACCATCGTACATCACCTCATTCCAATCCTCACCAGTCAGAATCTAGAAGATAAAAACAAAACTGTAGATGGCAACAGACAGACAGCATCAACATCATCACATCACCATCATCCTTTATTGTATATAACCACTATTATTACTATGAAATTAAGAAAGAAACATTAATCTTTATATTTACAGCAGTCAGGTGAATGGTTAAACTGGTATATTGAAATGGGAATTTTCCTTAGTTTTTGTTAAAATATATAGAATAATGTGAGTATTGACCGTAAATCCACACACAATGTGATTCATATTTTATGTATGTACTCATATTTATTTGTTTCTTTTATTAGAAACAGTTATATACATCTGGAGTTACAAATGCATCAATGGGTTAGATGTGTCATCTATATGGCTTTTCAAAAAAACAGAATGATTGTATCTGACAATATTAGAAGAAATTTAAATAGAAAAAAAATCATTTCAGTTAAATGTTTATTCTATTAATTTGTTTTAGTTTTAGGTTAATGTATCACATGTATCTGTGCTGACTGAGGTTATAAGTTAATACATTTTAAATACCAGTGCAATATAACTGAATGTAAATAAATGTATTAAATTTTACACAAGCTTACCTTTGGTTACAACTTAAAATTGAATTTCAATAGAATCCTTGAATTAATTTGAATTTATTCCAATCCAATTGGCATACACAAACTAAGTGTCTTTAGCTAAGTGAAGCTTCTGAAGCTAAAAATGTAAAATTTTGCACAATTTAACCTTTGGCTACAATTTTAAATTGTATTGCAATAAAATCCTTGAATTAATCTGAATTTTCAATTCCAATCGGTAGACATAAACTAAGTCTCTATAGCTAAGGGAAGTTTCTATAGTTAAAAATGAGAAGTTTTGCACAATTTAACCTTTGGCTACAATTTAAAATTATATTGCAATATAATCCTTGAATTAATTTTAATTTATTCCATTCAAAATGGCAGACATAAACTAAGAGTGTCTATAGCTAAGAGAAGTTTCTATAGCTAACAAATTTTATCTGGATATTTTACCTGGAATACCGTGAACAGTGCTTGCCAAAAATTGTCAAAATTACTTCGGGGCTTCTCCTTCATGTCATCAAAATTGAACTTCCCACCAAATACTTGCATACCAAGGAGGGCGAAAATTAAGATGAAGAGGAAGAGTAGGAGCAAAAGGCTAGCTATTGAGCGCATTGAGTTGAGTAGAGATGCTACTAAGTTGCTCAGTGAACTCCAATACCTGAAAAGTGAAACAAAATATACTGTTAATTCTCATTTTAAAAAATTGTAAAGACATACACTTCAATTTTCAATTGTGAAGATTTAGTAGGTATCTTACAGTGGCACAGTGCAGACATAAACACAGTGGTAGGTAATCCAGGGGGAAAAAGGAGCACTGTTTAAATGAAACAAGCGTTCATTTAAAATTCGCAAAATTTATGTTATCAAAAAAACAAGCAATCTTACTTTGTTACTTTGAAAACTCGTAACAGTCTGACACAACGTAAGACACTAATTCCGATTGGATCGATTATTTTTGCATACATGAGGACCATCTCCAATATACTACTCAACACGACGAAGAAATCGAAACGATTGAAGAGTGAAACAAAATAGTGGTCTATACCAATACTGTACATCTTGACAATCATCTCTATTGTGAATATTATTATGAAAAAAATGTTGGAATATTCTGAAAAAAAAGAAGATATTGTACCTATTTAGTTTTTTTTTCATTTAGGTATCACACTCAGTGAAAAAAAACTACGCATCATGGAACCATGACACACTAAAATGATTTGAATGGTGTAAATATTACATTTTAATATGATATTGTTAAAAGTTAAAAGAAAATAATCACAAATAGATTACTATTTAGCTAATGCCACTTCTGTCAGCCATACTGTAGTATTAAGTATACTCACCTGTGTTGGAATGGAACGAACTTAATCTCATGTGACTTAATTGTTTTTGTTTTATTATTATTATTATTATTATTATTATTATTTACTGGATACTGCTTCTGTAGTAGTAGAGACTTCCTACAGCTGCAATCAGTCCTCCTTCATTTGAAGCCACTTTATCTTGTCACTTGCAAACATCCTTAGCTTCCTTAGTGTCTTGCCCATTCTAAGAGTTCCCATCTGTGCCTCTTTGTTTTTTTTTTTTTTACTTGCAAATAATCTGAATTTTGTCAGAATTCTGTATCTGTACGGTCTCGTGCAAACACCTTCTAAGGATGTTGTTGCACGCAGATTGAGGTTCAATTCAATACGACATTTATATTCTTCCATTGCAGACGACAAAATACAGTAAATATATATTTGTAAATAAAAATTGAAATTCAAGAGAAAATAACAAAAATCAAATGGAAGAAGGCACATGCCCGAAAAAACATCTTGTGTTGGGCAGGCCTAAGTACAAACAAACGACAGACACAGGCACACATACACACACACCAAGTGTGTAGCAGCTAAATTAAGAAGCGGCCGGTTTGCGGGAGTTCCAATTGAGATTTAAATGTCTACATCTGGTGCAGCGTGGATGTCATATGGCAAGCAATCTTCACACTAGTTTACAGCTCTACTTCATCACTACATTTACTCTCATCATCCTTATTACCACCACCATCATCATCATTATTTTCCTTATCACCATTATCATTACCTCATTACTATCACCTTAATCAAGATCATTAGCATAAATAGCACAATGCTTACTATCATCATAATTATTATCCCCATCATCAAAATCATCATCACAATCACCCTCGCAACCACAACTACCAAAAACTATCTGTCTCTTAGCACACACATCTTATCCACCTTGTCGCTGTCTCACTCTCTTATTACTCAATCATCATATCTTAGTGCATCATCAACACATTCTTTTATAAAAATGAACAGACCACACGCAAGAAATGACTTGTATTTCAAATATCGTAAGTGACATTATAAATAACCTCTGTTGTCATTCTATACAAATGTTGACATCAACGATCAATTCTTGCTCAAACTAGAACTATAATAATCCTTAATAACAAATCAATTAAGAAATTACTTAAACTTTGGTGAAGATTTTGCCAATAAACAATTTAACGAGAATGTCAATGGATTTCAAATTGCAAATCAATTTCTTCAATAAACTCAATTACACAACTGAACAAACAACTAAAAATATATATATCATATGATATGATACTGCTTTTCTTCATTCCCACAACCATGTTGAAATTAAAACATTATTTATTCATTAAATCATACCTTGAAAAAGACCAAGCCACGAGGGTTGGTTGTAATGAAATGACGCTAATATACATGTATTGATAAACACCATTACAATCACGATCCAATAGAATGCCTGGGATTTCACAGCCTGCCTGCAGGCTCGTAAACAACGTCGGTTCCATCGCCGAGCCACTCTCCTTTGAAAGAAAACATTAGGGTTACTTTAGACAAGATTTTTTGCTGAAATCAAAATTGATTTTCAGAACAAAATCAGATATTTGATTTATTACTGTTCATCAGAATTAGAAAATGACTTCAAAATATAGATGCAACTCAGAAAGTATAATTTATCAATTTTGTATTGAATATTGCAGATCATAAAAAAAATAATAAATTTCAAAAAAAAAGTAGAAAATGCTACATTAATTAAAAATTGTTTTGATAATTAATTTGAGCTGAGAAATATTAATTTCAGCAAATTAAAATCAAATAAATCACTGCTTAAAAAAGAAAACGTAATTGTTGCATTGTTCTCACAAAAAATTGATTCTTTTAAATTAGCAATTTTGATTGACAACTGGCGTAGTAGTTTGTAACTCTCTGAAGCCTGGCACTCCCTGCATCGGATGACGGTTGTATAACCGCCGCACGACGAATCCAACTCCGCGTCTTGTGAGCGCTAGACGACACGACGCCATCTGCCGATTGTCGGTGGTCGTCTGTACGAATCGTCATTATAAATGATCAGTTGCATATGTGTCGTCTTCATATAATCGCATCAGCCGACGACCATCGAGGACAGTGAGTGCCTGGCTTAACTTCCTTGTCTTGTGCATTTGTCTTGTGCATTCGCTCGTGTCCCTGAACAAGACTATTTATCTGTATTGGGTACCGGCATAATGCTTGAAGTTGAACACATTGTTGAGAAAGAGCAGCAAACATCTTCTCCCAGCATAAGTTCCAACGCCAAAGAAAGATAGACATCACTCTAGTGTCTGCGAACAGGGCTCCAGTTCTAACTTCATTTATTACCTTTACCTCCATAAACCAAATGTTTGAAGATTGTTCCAAGTTTTACCTAAGGAATAATAAATATGTGTTCAAAAAATGTTGTAGCACCAATACTAGGTTTGGAAAAATATTGCTACCTTTTTTTCTGGTACCACGTGTCTTGGTGTGTCTCACTATTCCCATCATCAGAATAATCAGATGATTCAGGTACAGGCTTAGGAGCTAGAAGTGAAATAATCAAGTCAATGGGTCAGTCAAGTTGGATACATAAATCAATTAACTCATTTCATATACTATATCTTATTTCTCACTTAAGCTTTTATCTTTGTATTTTATCTATTATTGAATTAAAAATAAATCATACTATTCATCAGTTGACCTCTTTGAATGCAGAATGTTCTATATTATTTTAGTTAAAATTAAAAACAATAGAATTGTTGATATATATGTACATATACATGTATATTCAAATGTATAAAATATAAATTAAAGGTACTGCATAACCAAATAAATACGTAATGAAATACAAAAATCATTTTGACCTCATTGAATGCAGAATTTTCAATCTTATATTATTTAAAATTAAAAACAAAAGAATTGTTGATATATATGTACATATACATGTATATTTAAATGTATAAATATAAATTAAAGGTGATGCATAGGTAAAAAAATATGTAAATGAAATTTAAAAAATATAGTCATAATTTGTCACAATTTATTGAAGATAAGAGTCAACAATATCTTTCAGATGTAGATCTTTGTCAAGTTATTTACATTTATATGCATATGTATGTTTATATACACTGGTATACTTAGAATAAAAACATATGTTTGTGGAAGCAATAACCATGATTATGCAATAAATAAATATCATGAATGCAATGTAATAGGAGTACTTGGCATGCAAAGCAAAAAATATACATACATATAAAAAATATTACTAATGATAACTCTAATTTCTCCATTGTCTAAGTTCCCCTTAAGGTAGGTTTTACTATTACATAATAATGAAAACAATTTAAAGACAATACATTAATATTAATTTATTATTACCCAGTAAATAACCCATGACCCATAAGAAGCCTTACAGAAAGCATAAATTATAGCAAATATATACAAACAATATCAATTACAGAATGACAAAATATATAAAACAACAAATAAAATAACCCTTTGCATCACGGTAAACTACTGTCAAATCTGACAAAAATTTCTCCGCCTTCAAGCTTGATCCAAGGATACAGAATATATTCATACAATTGAATAATACCTATTGTGAAGCATAATGTAGGCAAGGAGACTGCGTAATTGTCTACAAAATACCATATGTGTTTATCAATATTCAGATTATAAATTATCAACATACACAATCTCAATCAGGAAAAAAAAAAACAATAAAAAACTGCTCGATATAAAAATTGTGCATGTTTAGAAGGTGGCATATAATTGATTTACCATTCGCCTTACGTAATGGCATCAATAAGCTTGCGCAAAATTGTATTCCGTCTCCAGAAGGCAGTTCGTAGTGAGGTTAACTTGCAAAATTAGCGCAGTGTGAAATATTGTGTTTCTTGGTACACCCCCGAGATTTGTAAGCTCACAGCCAATTTGTAGCTAATTTCTTTCAATTGACGATACGCGAGAAATCAAAGTACATAGAAATTAGATGATAATCATTATATTGTAATTTGTTTGACTCTACATAATTTTTGTTTCCACATCTAAAATTCTGATTAATTTGATTGTTATAAGATAATGGACTTAACTGAATAATTCATTTTTAATTAATTGTTTTCGAAATATATTGAAATCAAATAATCATTAAATAAGTATTTCATGTGTAATTACAAAGTAATATGTTTGAAAAATGACAATCATGTACACATAGTCAAATTCAAATTTAATTGTGTTTGAAGTGATATTCACAGCTTTTGAAAATATAAAATATTAAGAGAAAAACATATCTGTATTGGTACATGAGCCTAACACCTAATCTACAAGGTAGGGATTCTGCGTGTTACGTTGGCAATGAAAAATATTATTTTATTATATTATATTTCATGTCTGTCTACATAATTATGTAAACTTTATCACATGATACCTGACTAGTACAATGCAGTCTAACTGTTGTTACATAGATGGCAAGATAAAGATTTGTTAGGCATGTAAATATATGGTTTTTGCATTTTCTGTTCTGTCATAGAACTGATTGATTGATTGATTGACTGACTAATGATCTACTGACTTTCCCTTTAGTACAATACATAATTAGAGAAATTCAATAATCACTGGAGAAATATAATAATTTGCACAAAAAGAATTCAAGTTCATAACAATAGTACAGAAATTTATGAAGCACCTTCTTTCATATTCTTTTGCAGTTAATAATAGATGCCTGTTTAAAAGGTCAAAGTGCATTCACAATGCATTATGGGCAGATATACACAGCACAACAATCACACTTAGGATTTAGATACGGCACCTATCGCACACATTAGAAGAGGCAGGTATAAATCAAGACGTAGAGCAAAATAATAATTTGCGAGGTAGACACCCTGTACATCGACAATATTGGCATACGTTAACAAATACGTGCTAAGCGACCGCAGAGAAATAATACACCAGCTGAATTAAACTACATCCTATAATTTGCATCCATTAATCTGCCACTTTAATGACTCATTCAGAGATAATTGTCACTTTGTTGACATTGTGAACGTCATATTTATCAACTGAATACATACTCAAGCAATTTTATATTTAACATATTTCTTCATTATTACAAATACAGACAACACAATAAATAACACAAAGGTTGCATGAATGAACAGTCGTCTCATAAAGATTAAAATTTATCTATCATATAATATTATATTGCATATACTTATTTTGGATATAGCATGAAAAGCGATTCACATCTTTGGAGAGTAGTCATTTAATCTATAAAAGTTCTTAGAATAAATAAATAGGCAACAAGAGCAAGCTTTATAGTGTAGGCTTACAACATAAAAGCGCAAACTGCAACTGCGCAAGCATAAATTCAGAGCAAAATGTCACTAAATTCAGGACAAAATGTCACTAAATTCAGTACAAGTTGTCACTAAATACATAAAAAATGTCACTAAATACATAACAAAATGTCACTAAATTCAGAACAAAATGTCACTAAATTCAGAACAAGTTGTCACTAAATACATAATAAAATGACACTAAATTCATGTTAAATTAAAAAACAAATGTCAGACATTGACACCATTGTTGTTTCTTTAAAGTGCACTTGACTACTTCTATCATGACCATGCAATGGAAAAACAACTAGATGTGAAGGTGACCTCATACCTTTTGTATTGAGCGTGCCCAGACGTTTCCATAGGACTGCAGCAGGCAAGATTCAAAGAAAACAATTGTTTGTTAGTGAAAACCAAGTTTGCAATACATACCATCTACTCACAGCTAGTAATAATATTAATTAGTGAAATGTTAACTATCATGGAAATAAATCTTTGATAATACTCTAAATTGAATGTGTGTGTTTACATATATATGCTTATATTATATATACATATACACAGTATATATATGCTTATATTATATATACATATACACAGTGTATATATGCTTATATTATATATACATATACACAGTGTATATATATATATATATATATATATATATATATATATATATATATACATATATATACAGATTTAAACATAAATTTATATACAGATTTATATAGATTTACATATACAAATAAATGATTATATTTTAATATACTCTAGCTTTTATCAACGAGATAGTGGATTTTTCCTAAGATTGAGAGTATATTCAATTTCCAAAGTTCCAATGAACTGCTCTACGATTTGAAAGGGTTTCCCTCAGAAAATTTTGTGTTAGATAAACTAAATGATACAAAATTCCGTCTGTTTGTAGAGTATCATGAAGAAGTTTGCTGCTTGTGGATAAACACTCTTTTTATGTATGTTTTGAAAAATTATATCTGTTGTCTTTCACATCTATTATTATTATTACATAATAATGGGGATGAAATTAAGGAATTGGTGCAGTATGCATTGGTAAAAATGTGATGGTAAAGATAACGACATGAACTGTGGTTAGCTGGTAGGTAATGACCGGAATCATGAGTATTGTAAAGGAAGACACATAAGAAGAATTATGGGTAATGTATTATTAATGGCAGATGATGTATATGTAGACCTAATGGAAAACAATTTATGAGTGAAAATTAGGAAAAGGTGTGTGATGATGAACTTCGTAATACAATACTAATGTTGACGTACATAAAAATTATAATATTTAAAATGAAATTTATATTGGTTCTGTGTTCTACACTAAAGTAAAACCAATGTTAGATGCAAATGACAAAACAAACAATGTCTCCTATCTTAATGGTATTCACTAAATATACCACTTTGGTGCATGTATTATAAACAATACACAAATAGAAATAATGATTTATCTAATAATAATATGATAATTATTGTGGCATTAAAAAGTGTTGTTATTAGTTGTAGTTAGATTCAAGCTGGAGGTATGATTAATTGCAGTGGGATTAAGAATATACTTTAGTGATGAACTTTATTATTGATAGATGTTAATAATTAGAAATATCAAAATATCTGATGACAAATAGAATAATACATTAACCATAAATGATTATGATAAATATCATACTATTAAAAATAAAATATAAAATTTATGTAAAGTAAATATAAACAAAATAAAATAGCAATATAAAAAAGGTATAATGACAAAATAGCGAAGGCTACAGCCAGGTAATATAAAACATTATAATATAAATGTAAAATAAAACTAGATAAGAGAAATAAAATAATATACAATTTAAAATAAATACAAAATAGGTGAACATTAAATATAACAAAATTATAACAAAATGGATGACCAATACACTTGATGTAAACTCAAGCCCATAACAAGTAGTGGTCAAAATTTCCTTTTCAAGAACATCCTTATCTCATAAAACAAACAACCCCTTGTTTTAAAATACCATAAAATACCCCACCAGAGCCTGACACCCATCAGGGCCAAACCTATGCGCTTCCTGAACCTCTGACTAATTCCTTATTAAGGAATCCTGGTTTACAGGCTTGAAATTCTCTGTAAATTGTAGTAAATTAGAGAAATACATATAGGATACCATGGATATCGAACCATCAACCTTTTACAATATCGTTTCAGCACATGCTGTATTAAAGAGGTCATGACCTCAGAAGCAACATCACAAGTATAAATTAAAGATAGTGGATATATTTACATTACCATAAGCAAATGATGAAATAATAAGTTTACGTCAAACTAAACTGCACACGTGTACAGAGTACGCCATCATCACGTCATATTTATTCATACTGCCATCGTGTGTACACATGGAAAGTGTCTTTGATGGACATTTTATCATCTGTCTACGGTGATATAATTGTATCCACAGCCTAAATTTAACTCATATATTTTTCAATTAAATATTGTTAGTATACATTTGTTGTACTAAACCAATAAAATTACCAATTACTGTAAATAGTTTAAATTATTTATTATTATTTGATTACCTGCAATACAACATGAAGTACAGTATTATAAACAGTTATGGCATAGTCCATGACGTAGCCAACAACCACACTGACATCAACCTGAGGACGATTTCTTTTCAACATTTTGTAAAAAAAAAAGTTTTATTTCCTCTAAAGTGATTTGTTGGTGAATAGAGATTTGCTACAGCTTGTAAATTTCCTTCATGTGGTCTTTGCTACTGTATTAATTTTTGATACAGGACAAACCACAAGAAAAATCATAATTTGTTTGAATTTGTTGCTATGCCCGAAGGGCATATCTATCTTCTCAGTTAGCATTTTGGTAATGCATCAGAAATGTCAGTTATAAACTTTGGCTTTTCGTCTTTCGAGTAACTACAGAGCTTTCGTAATTTTCTTACTTTCTAATCTTATGGGTCTTTTTTTATCATTCTTTTATAAATTAGATTCATCAACGTTATTGCTGAAACTTCTTCTCGATTACATTAACGGAAGGAATCCATACTATATGCAAGTAATGGATAAAATTCTTTAATAGGTTTGGGTATCAAAGTAGTACGTAAGCAATAATTCCACGAAAATGAGGTTATCTGGAACAAAATGGAAACTACACAAAGTTAAAAGAATCCTATCACATAATGGAAAATTCCTCTACCCAATAAAATAAATTACTGCATGTTTTCCAGAAAGGAAAGTATTCTGTGAAAATGAAATTCAACTTTAGGTAATAAACATATTATAATGTTACCTTGTACTTTAAACATTGGATACCAGTATGTCAACTCTGATAAAATTATGTATATATATAAAAAAATTTTCATTATATGGTTTTATCCTATAACAAATATAGATGTGTCTATATCTTTGTAATTATCTTTTTAGTAAGTATCTTTCTTATATTATTTATAATTATATTAGGAAAACACTTTAATATATATATATATTATGTTAATTATTATTATTTATTATTACATATAATTAAATAATACCATGACAACATAATAACACATGTAATATTATATTAAAAATGAATAAGTTACCACAAAATCCTGCAACCAAATTAAAGAGGAAAATAAGATAGAAAAGAGAATAAAGGAAAGTACTGATAAACTAACAATCGTGTGTTTGTTGGGAGAATTTGAAATCATAAAATGTTTGCTTCTCCAAAATGAATAGGGAATAGAGATTGAGATGAAGAAGATGGAAAATTCTTAACAGAAAAAAATATAAAAGAGGAAAAAAGAGAAAAACAAAAGAATTAAAAGAAGAGAAATGAGGAGACAAGAAAAGAAACACATGACTCCAATATGAGCATGTCTTTCATATCCTCAAATTGATCTTTAAATTCTTTGACTGAATTTTCCAATTTTAATTATTTTAACAATGCAATTAATTATAAGTATATTTTTATAGATTTTCTATATAATATTTTTGTAATTTCATTGTATAATGTTGCCTATTTTATATTGTATTTTATCAACATTTTATGTAAAGCGCATTGAACAGAAATCTGAAAATATGCTATATAAATAAATATTATTATTATTATTAAATATCCTTGGGTTTAGGGAGTTGCAGATTCATTCAATAAACTTCCAATAACAGCTTGGATAGGCTTCATAGCCTGATAAATATAGTGAAGATAAATAAATGAATGATTACTGTCAAAATAACCAATATGTGACTCCCTAGTTTATATAAAATATAATCAACAATGTAATATATAACTTAAAAACCATTAGGACTAAATGCAGTTGCTTTTATTGATGATTTTCACACCAAATACAAATATAAAATATACTCAAAACCTCTCCCTCAGAATAAAACAAATATATATAATTAATAAAGTAGGCCTACCCTTCCAACGAGATCCTGTGAAGAAGAGTTAAACATAATTCATCAATATAAACAATTTTACATAATTTTATGAAAATGACGAACATTATAAAGTTGTTGGCGGACAAAAATTAATTCTTTGATAACACACTAAACAAAATACAGATTATGATAACAGGTCAAAGGGTAATGGCTGACTAGCCGACAAAAATATCTAACCAAGTCAATACATCACAGGGCATCTGGAGAGGACTTACCAACTGTTCAGAAAATTATATAAATGTTGTGTAGGCCTTGTAAGTGGATTTACGGTAGATATATCACCACCTGGAGACCTCCGTAAATGCATAACGTGATATCTAAGATATGCTATTCTGTGATGCTTGTTACGCGACGTCATGCAGAGCTGGTCAGAGATTACATGTCACATGGCTCTGGTCACTTGAATTGCAGGTTTACATGGCAATGGAGGGGGGGGGGGTTTGATTACCTTTCATTTTGATGACCTTTCATGGAAACAAAAGATATTTGTACAGGGTGGTCACATAAGTAGCAGAGAGAGGGGTAAGGGGCCTTTTCCATCAGACTTCCACTCAACCCAACTGTCATCCCACTTGAAGCTGCGCAGCCCTAGGCTCAAAAACTGAACAGAGCAAATTTTCACAAATGGGTGGCCCTGGACATCCTCCGCTCACTCTACCCCTGGCTCATCACCATTGGCCTTGCTCTACCCGGTCACATGTACGGCTTGCCTCTTTTTACCAACACATCGTTGATATGAGATAAGGTTTGAGTATCTCCAAATCTGTTTAATTCCACAGAAGATCCTTTCAAATTTTGCATCTAAAAACTTCGATGCATCAATCATTTGTGTGTGTGTGTGTGTGTATTTTTTCCTGCTCTATATTCATTTCAATGTAAAAATTGTCTTGGCATGGTCAACCAACTGAAGCGAGATTTTTTTTATGGCTTTATCTCATTTCACTTACCATCTTTTGTGACCTAGAAATGTATCAATATCCCAACCCTTCATGTATGATCGAATTTAACAGAAGGTAAATAACTAATATTTAACAGAATATATATCTTTCTTTTCTAATATTCACTCACCATGCTGAGGAGGAAGGCTGGGTTTTACTTCTTCTGCTTCAGGTTCAATATCCTCTGTACATAAAAACGGATGACTATTATATAATACCATATAATTATATAACAACATACTAAAGGTAAAAAGTTTATGAATAGCACAGTGGAACATACTCATACAATACTTATAAATGTTGCATCTATATCTCATTATTTATATTACATTAATCAGGAGCAGATTAAAGAATTTTTTTTATTGGGGAGGGGCCCTTACTAAAATTTTCAGATGGTTTGAATCAATATCTAACTCAGGAGTATGGTTACCACATGATTTTGGAATGGCTAATAAACTAATTTTAAGAATTCAAAATAAATTAGGCTTAATTTTTCTAGGCTACTAATTCACAATCATAAACGATGATGTTGATAAATTTTAAGGGCAGGGAACTAATGCCTGTTTAGCAGCCCCAGCCTCACTCTACATCCACCCTTGTTAATTACATACCTGCTTTCATGATCCAATCCAGGTAACCACGCAGATCTTCATCAATCTGATGTTTTTCACGTAATTTTTTAAACTCTCCTTTCACCTTTGCTTTCTCTCGCTCCTTTGAAAACTCACTAAATACAAAAATCAAAGCAGTAACAGATGAATAAAAGTCATTCTATATTCATTATGAATTATCAAAAGGCCACCTCAGACAACGTCGATAGACATAGCCCGACACGGTTTATCATCAGGGACAGTTAAGGTTTAATGTTCTATGTGCAACTGTCACTGCCACAGACCTCTCAGATCATCTCACACAAACCCGGCATAACAACAAATCATGTTGGGTTGCGTCATCCAACGCCGTCTGAGTTGGCATTTAATGTTTGATTAGCAATAATGTCATAATAATGAAAATGATTTCATTATCTTAACACAGTATGGGATGATTCTGTATGTTATATTGGAACCAAATATTAATAATACAAGCATAAATATACCAAATATTTTCCATGGTTTACCACTTTGGCAAACGACAGTAGAATTTGTCTATTCATAAATGTGCTCTGTTAATAAAAACAAAATTAAAATAAAATATTAAAATAGAATTTTGTATCCTGTTATAAATATATTAATATAATGTATATTCAGTAATAATTTTTCTGTAGTAATTTGTTAAAAATCAAATAAAATTCAGCTAATGCTTGCCTAAGTGGTTGCCAGAAAATTTGACTATTTAATAGAGTATACCATAGCTTGTGATTCATTTGATAGCAACATTTAATAGACAAAAAGGTTTAAAATGTTTAGTTGTCGCATGTTCACCTATGCCCCATCACAAAAATGTTAAAAGGTTAATACCAAAGATCGAAGAATAAAAAAACCAGACAAACTACCTCAAAACCAGAATACCAGTTAAAATCGTGATTTATAGCCAGTGATTCATTTGGTAGCAACATTTAATAGACAAAAAGGTTTAAAATGTTTAGTTGTCGCATGTTCACCTATGCCCCATCACAAAAATGTTAAAAGGTTAATACGAAAGATCCAAGAATAAAAAACTAGACAAACTACCTCAAAACCAGAATACCAGTTAAAATTGTGATTTATAGCCTGTGATTCATTTGGTAGCAACATTTAATATACAAAAAGGTTTAAAATGTTTAGTTGCTGCAGATTCACATATGCCCCATCACAAAAATGTTAAAATGTTAATACCAAAGATCCAAGAATAAAAAACTGATTTCAATAAGCTAATAATCTGAAAATAGTTTTTTTCTTTTGCTTTTTAGTTTATTTTAAATTTAAAAAAATGAAGAAATGCTTCTATAAAGTGCCTAATATACTGTACATATTTACAATAATATATCTCTTCAATAGAAATTAAAAGGCTAAATATTGAAAAGCAATAGCTGGATCTTGGTTTAGGCACACAATTAATAAGCAAAAGCTAAAAGCTATATATATATAAATACATTTTTCTCATTTATTTATCTTAATGTTATAATGAATTCGAAATCTAAATTTGAAAATATGCTGATATGATATATTGCATTTTAAGTACATAGTTTGTTCCCAAACATTATAAAATGTTTATATATACCAAATGAGTAAAAATTTAAAAGCCATTGGTACGGTTACAGGCTACATTAGATTCAATACCAACCTCAATTACGGATACTCATCATGTTTCTGATGATCAGAAATACTCATCATTTTTCTCATTATTTCTACATAAGTAGCAAGCCATTTCATATTATAGGAGTATGTTATTTTCCTGACACAAACTGACATCAAAATAGCATATTATTATACTAAGTACCACACAGTGTTGAATATCAAGCATTAAAGGTCCTTTAGAAATGTTTAAGCCATTGGTCCCCTGTGCACCAAAAATTAAATAGGGATGATTTTTCAGAGTAGAAAATTGTCTCCCAACATACTTCTCTTCATGCCCTGTAGAAAATGGGTGTTATACTTTAAAAGGAATTGTCGAGAACAAAGAATTATTCATTGAATGAATAATTAATTAATAATGATTACTTCTATAGCTCTTTTTCAAAATGATCGAAGCACATTAGATGGCATTCATTAAATCTTTAACAGAAGTCTAATTTGTGATGGAATTGCATTCCATAGGGCCAAATTTAAAGAAAGGTCGACGCCACGTACAAACGTCTAAATTTAAAGGTAATAATAATTTCTTATATCAATTTGCACACAAACAATAAATCTAATTGTCAAGGCAAGTATCAATCACCTCAATCCTAAGGTCAAAAAGTTATAATAAGTGAATCACAATAATATAAATACATGCGAAGGCCTGTATGGCTACTATATGGCTTAATCCACATCAATTGTATTTTTATGTAAGAATAGCATTAAATTATTATTATTAATATTAGTCCATCCTTCATTTTGAATCAGAAAAAAATCCAATAATGCATTTGAAGGTCAGTGATTGACAGATCGTAGGCCAATATGTGCACTCAAGTTGTCTTTCCATAAAGTGTGAGGGCAGTAGAGTACAATGTACCATAACAACAGTAAGGCTTATAACGTACAAAACAGACAACTAACATTCCAAGGTCACCAGGGTATCATATCATTCATTCAAAGGTTTATTCATGGAGGCAGGTGATATCATTGTCATGTTCAGTAATTGTGCACTCAACACCTCCCCACACCCTGGGGATCATCATCAAAGTGTGTTGCCCTCTGTTAGTCAATAGATTCGATCGATGTTGAAAGAGTAACACTGTCAACTGCTTAGAATTTTCTTGACATTGTAGACAGACAGAACAAGCAAAAGGCAGACATAGAGTAATAAAAGGTATTAACCAGAAATACAGACTGTGTACATTAACCTACCATAAATATTAGAATGGACTATAAAGCTCTTGTATACATTGACTTTCTTCTCCTCAAATATAATATCAAGAAGGTACTGTAGCTAATAAAATTATTACCTAACCTTTCACAACAAATCTAAACAATAATGATAACAATAATAATACCTACAATATTAATATTATATTATGCTGTTTGAATGTTCATAAATTTACAAAGTGTATTCATTACAACCATTCTGCAACTAGCAGTTATGCAGTTCTCACTAGAGCATTTTCTCATTCATTGTTATCCCCCTCCTCATCCTGCATTCTTGATTAACGAAAACACTGACGTAGTCCCGAGATTTCTAAACGCAATCAAGTAGAACTGCATTAAATTCAAATGAAATCCCAAGTAGCTAAAGCAAAACACTTTAAAAAAATGCAAATTGTCGTTGGTGCACAACGATTATTCGAGCTAACAGAACACTGAAAAGTAAATATTTCAAAGCTCATACTACTAAAAATCAATATGACACTATAATATTTTCATAAACCTAAAATATATTAAAATAAAAGTTAATATAAAATAATAACCATTAATTCTGAGCATATACTAATTTTATATTGTAAAACTTAGCAAGTGTTATATTATTATTATTCTTTATTAATTATCACTATATTATGAAACTATTGTTATTATGCAAATTTATTTTTAACCTGACAGAATTATTTAGTCACAACGACTCCAGGACTTGCAACAAGGATTTAAACACATGCATGTGCATTGCACGGGTTGTCATTATTGTTTAAGTTGACAGTGATGAGCCCATTAGAACTCAACAGCCCTTCGTACGCTAACCTGATTACGATGGCGGTCACTAGAGTATGCTTGCAGTCGTTATTTCTTGTACACGTACTAAGCTAACAAGGATGTGCTTGGCTGTTTGTTATTCAAGCTTATTTATTTACCAAAAGGCAAAATTGAACAAAACAAATAGATTACACGAGCCACGGTTTGACTCCGATGAACGAAGCCTAAATAAACAAACACAGTACGGCATTTTGCATAACAAAATTTTAAAATTTCATTTCATTTATTGTTCTCTCACAAAACAAGCTTAACAAACAAAACAAAAAATTACAATTGAAAACAGTGATGTAAAGGGATGCCAAAAAAGTATACTGAATTACTATCAAAGTTGGTCTATATATAATTTGAAAGGCAAATGGGAAAAACCCATAAAACAGCAAACAATGTAAAACAATTTAAAATTAAAATTAAAACGGAACAGTAGAGTAAATCCGATCAGAATGACAAAATAAACTAAGCATCCACTGGAAGGAATCCCAATATCTGCAAACGGATCAGTTTCGGCCTTCCAGGCCTCATCAGTGCAGCTAGGGTACAGACCCAAACGAAACGTTCAACCAGGTTAGGTAGGGCCCAAACTAGTCCCACGACCACTAATGATTACAGAGCCAAACCAAGGCAATATATATACACAGCCCAGGTGTGAATGCAAATAGTGGAATACAAGCTATGCGGCTCGGTCCCAGTAGATACAGAGAATATTTATATATTTTATATAAATATATATATTCAAAATTCTGTAATTAAAATTGACTTTAAAAATGTTAATTTATCACACCAAAATAAAATTTATTAAGAATATATATACAAATTATACATTAAGAAACAAATTTAAATTACTTGGCAGAATGTCCTAAATTTCATAAGGGGATAGTATTTCAAAATAATGGAAATATATGATGTGATAAACACCATATTCACTCTCTTTAAATGGTATCATTTAATTATTCAACTATACTAAAACAAATAATCTGTAGACAATTTTCATTAAAAATCATCATATATAAAATTTAGTTTGAAACTCTAGAAAATTTAGCAGTTTCAAAATATAAATTGAATATATACTGACAGAGGACCCCAATAGGGTATATGCGTCAGTGTGCGTCATCAATCGGCAAACTATTCGGTGTTATTTATTTGCCTATTATTAATTAAAAATGTATATTTGACTTGTAAATGATTGTGTGTATATACTACACGACAAATTTAATATTTATTTATTTAAACTGTCAAACTTCATGGAGAAATTAAATCCAACGTCATTCTTCAGAGCAAGCACTGACAACTTTAATGGTCGAGAAATGTCATTGATTATTCACATGGATTGAAGTATTAATAACGTATCTAACATTTAGAGCACTGTATTACGTTTCACTATATTTCTTTTTCAGAAAAATGGATCAAGAATTGTTTTTACCATGAATAT